GGTTAGTTCTTTGGTTAGAAAAAAGTAAACACCTTTTTTCTCTCTTGCACACTTCAACTTGGCGATGAAGTAGCTATTGCTGATTGGTCATAAATTAGGAACCAATCAAACACACAAACCTCCTGTCACGTTTCTTTTATCCAAATCTAGACATAAACTTGATGAATTTCAGAGTCAAGCAAAATGGTGGTCGTTCTGCTGATGTAACGAGGAAAGCCATGTCCAGCCACTTTTTCATTTCTATTTTGAGAAAGTTTTGACCCGTTAGGCAGAATAAGAATGAACAATTTTCTTAACTTAAGGCTTCAGTATCATAAATAAAAATTTGTAATGTTCATTGCCATAATTTCCTCATATCATGCTTACCATGACACGCCTCTCTCATTCTCTTTCAGAGGAAAGGCCTATGTGTGCCACCAGGAATATGAGGAAATCAAAGGCCGCAACCCGCCACCAAGTCCTTGGAGGGACAGACCAATAGACGAATCACTCATTCTTTTCGAGGTGACGTATATTTTGTTTTTAAAGTTCGCTGTGTCTAGCCTGTATTTACGTAGCTAATCGTACTCCGAGTCAATTTTTGAGATGTGTGCTATGTTCTACATTGCTCGAAAAAAGGAAGTTACCGCAAAAGCTCTATTTAGCCCCCCTCTCTATTAAGCCCCCTCTCTATTAAGTCCCCCTTATCAAGCAAAATTTTTAAATAAGCCCCCTCTCTATTAAGCCTCTCCTCTTTAGCCTTTCATGTCAAACATAGAAATCATGCGCATTTAGTGGGTCTCTTGACGAATATGACGATGATAAGATCGTGTGCATTAAATACGGCCTCTCTAATATGTAAAGACTAACTTATGCGACTTAGTAGTCAGTCGAAATTTGTTTTGAAGATGTCCAATGTCCAAGGTGACAAAAGATGTCTTATATGCTGAAAAAACGGATAAAGTAAACAAATATTTCCGCGTTTTACACATCCCCGATGCTTTGTAATACCTGAACGTTCTTCTATAATAATAGTCAGAAACGTTATCAAAACTAGCTGCCAATCAAAACAAAGATCGGCGTCTTTTTGGCTTAATTTCTGTATATCCACCTGTGGGCTGGTCAATAAGAATTCAGCTGTCTCACCAAATAGAAAATGTTACGAAATCAAAACCAAATCTTGCTAGCAACCATTATTTGCTGTTTTGAAACTTTTCCAACGACTCATTCAACTTTCCGTTTGTTATCAACAGCTTCATTGTCGGTTGAAAATTGATCACATATGATGTGACACATGTGATATTTGAACAGCTTTCAATGCCTCTATCAGATATAAATTCATTTATTGCCTCTATCAGATCTCAAAACTGATTTTACAACTTCCACTGTGTTTACAGCTTTAACAGCTTTTGCTAGTTCTCCCCAAAATGTACCAGTAATTTTGGTCCATTCCCAAAAAAATCGCGTACTTGACTCAGCTTTCTCCGTTTACTAAACTCTTAACAAAAATGTGATATTAACACACTTATTAAATCAGTCATAAATGGAAGCATAATTTTTGTAACGTTAAAATTTCCGTACCAAGGTATGCACATAGTTTCTGCAATGGAACAATTTTTTAGAATATTTGTTTATTTATACAAAACAGTGTCAGGTATTTATTTACGTGTGTTTATTGTTGTTTTTTTGGCGCGTTGCAGGGTTTTTTATTTGCTATATTTTAATTCATAACCTTTTCCTTTAGCCGAAATGATTTTTTTTGCATTTTTTTTTGTTTTTGTGTGAAATATTTAGGATTTTACTTAATAAGACGGTCGTCTATCTTTTTATGCACTGTAAAATCCGTTATATTCTTGTTGAATTGCTATCAACGAACTTTCAAATCATTATAAATATACTTTTATTGCAAATTTAAGTTTTTAAAGACTTTATCGCTTCTCTTTTTATGCGTTACAATAAGTTTTTACATATTTACATTTTACCAAACACAGGACATGAAGCTTGGAAAAATTGATGAAGGAAAGGTATGCTTAACATTTTGTATATTTTGTTTTGATTTTGTTCGAATTTTAGGCTTTTTCGCTCGAATTGTAGGCTTTTTCGCTCGAATTTTAGGCTTAGCATAAAATCATAGTATTACAGAAAACGCTATAAGCTGTCGCTGAATGCCTTCTGTTGATTTTGAAAGAAAAAATGTCATTTTGTTCAGGCCACTCTTCGAATGAAATGCACCCTTGAAGATGGTAAAACAGATCCTGTTGCATACAGAATCAAATTTACTCCTCATCACCGAACTGGCGATAAATGGTAAGTAAAATTGACAAAATCCTTTTAATATTTCTTTTCAAAAGATCACTTTGTTGTCTGTATTTTAAGTATCACATCGTTTTATGTTAAGGGGCTTCTTTACTGCTGTTTTCAGGAAGACCAATTTCGTTTCACATTACAAATATTTGCAATATTGCTTGTGTTATATAGTTTATATCATCAAAGTATTATAGATTTGGTTACCTTATAGACAAACTCTGTTCGTTGGTATTTTATAAGTTATCAAATATCAAAATTATTTGAAGCCTTTTTCATAAACATAGGTAATGGCCAATAACATGTTTCGTAAAACCAATAGGCAAACCAATTTGTGTTTATTTTAGATTGATGATGTGCTATATAGTCAATCATGCATTATCTTAAATTGCTTAGAGTTCTTGAAAATTTTTGTTCATATCTTATTAAGTGAATATTTTCTTTTGTCCTTAACGTTTTACAGAACAGTTTGATTCTACAGAGGGGAACTGACATGTGTTAAATATACCATGTAAACGGTTCTGATTAGCTTGCGACGATTTTTCTCCGATAATATGCGAAACACCGCATAAGTACACAGCCTTGTCCTGCAATAGAAGCACAATCTTTATTTTATTTTCTCCTAAGATCGACTTAAACTGAATTATTTATTCCACTACTGCCTGGTGTCTGAATAGAAAAATTTACCAGAAACTAAAAGGTTTACAGTCATTGGGGTATTGTAGAATTTAAGCTATTACCATAATATAGTTAGGGTTAGATTTAGGGTTAGGGTTAAGGTTAAGGTCAGGGTCAGGGTCCGGGTCAGGGTCAGGGTCAGGGTTATGGTAAAGGTTAGGGTTAGGGTTAGCCTGCTCCTCTGATCGAAACTCAAATGGCTTATAGCTGTGGATATTTACTTCAAATAATTACCATTCATTGACTATTTTATAGGTGTATTTACCCAACTTATGATTTCACACATTGTCTCAACGATTCGTTGGAACATATCACCCATTCGTTGTGTACTAAAGAATTCCAATCTAGGTAAGTTTTTCGCTATGTTTTTTGTATGTATAAACACAGTATTTTGATATACCTTACTGCAAACTAGAATCTTTGCCAAGACTGTTAGGACCGATGCCAAAACTTTCTCTGTGCATTTTCCAGGAATTTCTATTCAGCTCGTATCTATTCAGGTTTTGCTCATTTTCGACATTCAGTTACTGACTTTAAAATTCGAGTACAGGGTGAAGTTATGGATCAAGTATGCAAATTATTTTTGTAGAAGTGTTGGAGTGAAACTTTTTGACGTTGTGAGGGTAGTTTAGTATGACACCATCGTTCACAGTTAGTGGTATCAGGGTGCACTGAAATTATCAAGGAATTCTTTACTCAACCGTATGAAGACGACAGTCAATGCGGCTGTTTAAATCTATAGCTAATAGCTGGATTGGTCACAGGACTTCTGTCATCTTACGTATCTTTCTTGTGTAAATGAAATTGTGTTTTTTGTAGATAATCGTGATTATATTACATTGTGATCAATATTACATTGAGATCACCTAACTAACAACGCTAACTTCCCAATGTAGCGAACTAAATGTTTGGCTCCTTCAGTTCTGCTTTAAGCGTTTTCCCTGCCTAACAACTGTATACCTGTTTAACAATCTCTTCGTTCATTTAACCTCCTTTATAACGAACCACTTTTTTGATCCCAAGCAAATTGGTTTTATGAAGATTCAACAGTAGATTGATCGCAAGTATGAAGACCTATGAAAATAACCCAGTTAATCTCAGTATTTGAAAAAACAATAAAATAAAAAAACAACCTAGTAAAAACATAACAGATAATCCAAAATTCTATTTTGATTTCAGGCGTTCTTCGTATTACTGGCTATGCAATGCACTTGATGCCTACTGCCCTGTACAGTGGGAATACGGAAGGTTAAATTTGTTGTACACTGTCGTGTCAAAGCGAAAGATTGCCAAGCTGATTTTAAACAAAATTGTTAGGTATGTTGTATATATTCCCATCAGTCACTATGTCCCGTCAGTCAACGGTTCAGAGTTGACAGTAGGCTTTGCAGCGAATTTGTGATCGAGAAAATATTGAGATTCAGCCGATTGGATACATAACAATAGGTCTATTGTGTAGTCTAACCAATGGGAATTTAAATAGCCAGAGAAATGTGTCGGGCCATAGTGTTTTTTAGTATAAGCTTGTTTTAAACTTTGTTTTTTAAAGTTTTATAAGTTTGATGGCTTCAAAAGATTCAAGGATTTTCCTTGTCGGTATTTTCGCTGTAATATTTTCTGCTAGAAACCAGAGCTGTGAGTAAATCTATTTTGCAAACGTTTTATGGCCTTCTCCTTCCCTGTTAAAACATCGATATGATCGCGAATGCTTCCATCTTGACCAGTTTAATCCTGTTTCTTAACTGTGGCTGTGCGAGCAACATTTTTTTACAGGAAGATGGATTAAAATTGGTTTTTACGCTGTTTGTAATTTGATTTACAGTGTTTTAATGTGTTTCCCCGGCGATTAATTGTTTTCAATGAATTTACCTAGATTCTTTCATCTTCCTTTCAAGGGTTCTGGGAAGATGTTTCTGTCTTATTCCTTTATTCCTAGAATGTCTGCCCTTCCGAACAACCGTTCTGAGCCTGCTTCTATCTCTACAATTTACAAGCTTTCTACAAATTTATACCTTATTTTATTTCTGCAAAATGCATTAACAGTTTTTTAGTTCCTGACACCCTCTGAAAGTTGCTTCACTTATCTTAACCTCAACCTTTTCTTCAGCTTGACCAAAAAATTCCTTTTTTTAACCTATTCAATGCTAATTTAAAAATTCTGTGTTAAAAGTTCGTAAAAATTGACAGTAAGGTGCTATATTTGTAATTCCATCTTGGGAACTCCGAATTAAGTCAGGTTTATGAGAGATCGGTCACACACGTATAAGTGTATGACTGCTAAATGTATTTACCCACATTTTTGTTTAATCATCTGCCAGTGGTATTGGATAGCGTGAGAAATAGTAATTTACATGTTTAGTAATTTGTTTGTATGCTATGTAGTATGTATATATGTCTTTAAATGATGAGTAAATGAATTACTACAAGAACCTTTGATTTGCAACGTGTTTTGTACCCATTTTCTTTAAACCACCTTGTTTTTAATTCACTAATACCTGCATGCTATTTATATACTTCCCGCTCCTATCTGAAGACTGCACCCATGTCGAACTTGTCCAATTTTTTCTCTAGACTGGTTTTTATATTGCACCCCTCTCCCCCCCCCATGTTAAAGGCAGAATGTCTACACGTTTGAAAGAGCACTGAAAGGCTTCCAAAAATAATCACCTCTTCTACTTAAACTGTCAAGGAATTAGGATTTGCTTAATCTTTCCGACTTTCTAGAGACTGGGATGACCCAAGGCTGTTTACATTGACTGCTCTGAAAAGACGAGGGTTTCCACCCGAAGCAATCAATTTATTCTGCTCAAAGGTACGCCATCTTACCTTACCATACAACTTCCGTGTTGTTTTCCAGTATCATTCTTGGAAATGAGGATGATAAAAGAAAGAATCTTCCATATAGAGTTACGTATGCAGGTTACACTATACATTGTTCGTGTTTTCGAACTGAATATGAACGTTTAAGCTTTGGAAATTTTTGTACAATACTGTCGTGACGACGTTGAGACTGCCGCCGAATAATCAAACCTGGATCAACCATCGACGGGTTTTCTGTACCGACCTTTTTATCTCGTTTGGTCGGCAGGCAATTAAAGATTCAAAAATTGATTAAGAAATTATTTCTTCTCGGAAAGTCTTCAAAGAAGACCTGCCAACATTTATTCACCCGCCATCTTTAACTCGTCGTCACCAATATAGCTCACATTGCTGAAACTTTTGCCGAATCTGAAGGGGTTTGTTATGCTTCAGTGTATTTTTCCGAAGTCACGTATCGATTAGAAACGATTATCAAAATTTGGAGATTACGTTGCGATTATGACGTTTCCTCAAGCTGCTACGAAGAGGCAGTTGATTCATTTTGTTTGGCGCACGAAGACGTAGATGTAAAAGTGGAGCCTCGAAGCCTAGATCGCTATCACATCCCGACCAAAAAGTGCGAAGAAGACATATTGAGCCATTAATAGTGACAAATCAAGTCAAAAGAATAGATAAAAATTTCGACTCTAGCTAGAGTCATCTTCAATCTTTAGTATAGTAAATTAAGACAAATAAACTTCAAATAGAGAAGAGCTAAACAAAGAGGATCGTAAATAATGTGATCTAACAGTTCGTAGAACAAACTAATTGGCTTTTCCTAGAATCCGATTCTTCACTCTCTTTCAGATCGGCGTAACAATGTCCCAGTCAACGATTGATCCGGCTCTTCTTGAATCTTGTGTCAGAGATGTTTTGAATGTCACTGCTACAAGGTATGTCCCTTTTGTACTATGATAATTCTTTCCCAACCAGTTTTACAAAAGGAAATGTCTATGATGGTTGCTATTTCTCGCATTTCTTCTTTGAATAAGACTTCTAAGAATTCAATTAGAATATTGGTTGCTCTGATATTGCAGAAACTGATATATTAGTATTTTATTTTATTTTAAAACTCACTAGATTATAGCTTATTTTACATTGTAAAATACTGCTCAGCCTTTGTTCAAATTGCCTTATTTCTTTGTGCGCGTATACAGCAGTATCAGTTGACAGCAGTATAAGTTCTGAAATAACAACACAATTGTAAAATTATGTATTTAAATGTATTTTAGATTAATTAAATCAAGGCGTTGTAAGCAGAAATAATATATAATGATTGTTTTAATTTTTCGGCAGAGTTATGGCTGTTCTCGAACCACTGAAAGTAATCATTACAAACCTGTCTGGCGAGGTAAGTACGATCTATCCTCACGCCTGAAATACATTTAGGAAAAATACATGTACGTAGCGTTTAAAAAAAGATACATTGACAGTAACGAAAGCTTTAATCATTGAACAATTTGCTTTGTTTTTATTTGTTCCATAATTTGAAGTTATCGCGGAGACTCAGAGGGTGCTTGAATTTAATCTTTTAGAAAAGAATGATCGAGGTTCCTAACATCCCTGGTAGTGAGTCAAGTGGAGTTCACAAAGTCCCCTTAGAAAATATCATTTACATTGAGGGTTCTGATTTCAAGGAGGTAAGTAAACACACATGAATTTGTGACGTATTTCCTACTACTTTATTTTATGCAAATTGCATTGCAAAAATGCTTGACGTTATGTCTTTTTTGGATGTTTGGTATGATTATGAGTAAAAGTTGATAGCGAGAAAGCGAATGACGTGGAGAGCTAAAGTTAGGTAAATTTTTGTTTCGTTTTTGCAAAGAATTCGACTTTTTCTGCTTCTGTTTCAAGATAACAATCAAAGAAATCTTGTTTCTCGCAAAGTTGTGTTTAATAATTCATTTGATTTTCCAAAGTCTAAACAAAACTAAAATGACAGCGTTTTATTTTTAGCTTCCTTTGAAATGAAAATGTTCCTAACCATTTTTAGATAGACCCTCAACACAATTTTTGTAAAATTAACTTTTCCATGGGTTTGATTTTATGCCTTTTTGCAGGGCATTCTTGAAACATTTCAAGTTTCTATCAGGAATCTGTTTGTTCAAACAAGTTTTAATTTTTCTAATCCATTAGCAGCGGTGTTTCTTTGATACAGTTTTTTGGTAAACTAAACTAAATGGTATTTTCGTGTGTTTTGTGTCTAGGGAGAAAATTTTTAGAGGCTTATATTTCTAAAATGATCTTAGGTGACAAAATTTGAGAAGAGGGCTCAATTGCTTTTCTGCATTCAACGCATTCATTGGCTCAAATAATTATGTTTTTGAAGTGGTAAACCAGCGAGAAACGTCTATCAGATCATGAGACCTGCCCCCATTCTCTCGCAAGTTCTTTTTTGTATTGTTTTACAGTTTAAACCTAATCTTCAATACAGTCATCGTCTCAGCCAAGGAGGTTAGCCAAGGGGTAGTCACTTAATTCTTATTTCCGAATGCCTCTCGTTGATTTGAAATTCAAAATAGCAATTGCTGTTTACAGTAGGAATATAAATCTTTCCTTGGCTTATCAAATCTACGTAAAAGGTTCCTTAGAGAGGTATATTAAAAAAGGAAGGTGTCTGTCTACACCTCCAAACACAAGGAATGAATATTTCTTTTGCTGAAGTATTTAATGAGGCACAAGGCTGTTGCTCCAGGTGGGGGAATGTTTCACCGCTGTCATAGATGAAGACGTTAAAATAGAGAGAGAACTAATAGGAAATGTAAGCGAGATTTTGCGGTAACATGATTCATGTGTGTTTTGATGACAGTTTTAAAGCAATCCGGATCCTAACTGATTGTTCGTCAGTGCGCAAGTACCGGTCATATCTGATGCATGACTGCTATAAAGCCGAAACTGATTAAAAAACGTTCACGTGAAATTCTGGTTTTTTGTAGGTTGGTGAGAAGGATTACAGGCGATTGACGCCTGACCAATCTGTAGGCTTACGTCACGCGGGTCTTGTGATTTCAGTGAAAGAAGTAGTAAAGGTTTGTACTTTTCTTATCGTGTAAGAAACAAGCATTTGTTAAAAGCGTTGTTTCGTACAAAGTCTTTTCGTACACTGAGTACCACTTCTGGGTAAAAGGGTAAGGAGAGAGAGAGAGAGAGAGAGAGAGAGAGTGAGAGAGAGAGAGAGAGAGAGAGAGGAAGAGAGAGAGAGAGAGAGGAGGAGAGAGAGAGAGAGAGAGAGAGAGAGAGAGAGAGAGAGAGAGAGAGAGAGAGAGAGAGACGGAAATTAGAAAAGGTTTTTCCGAACTGTTTTAATTTCTCGTCTTTTTATAAATACCATTTCTCTTCGGCTGCTATTTCTCAGATGGGAACTTTGGGTGCTTTGTTATGCAAAATATAAATATAAAGGACATGCAAAATATAAAAATGAGATATTTATTCAAGTACAAAGAGATCTTTAAAAATCGCTTTGAAAAAAGGAAAAAAATTGAAATATATTTAAACTTAACTTTCTTATCAGCCACCATTTGCTGGAAATTGGAAAACCCCGATCGTGCCAAAACTAGTCATCACAATTTTAATGTTTCAAACCATTTTTAATCTTTGTACCACCAAAGAATTTTTGCAAAGAGCGCTTTGTTTCTTGTGTATTCTTGTAAGGCCTTTCTAAGGAGCTATTCTGAATACTTTTATCATATGAACCAGAATTACTTTCAAGAGAGCATGGATTTGCTTTGCCTTGTTTGTGGTTTTTTAAAATCTTATCATTTTGTAACTGGAAAGCTTATCTGTTATTTTGATAAAATGATTTATCTCACTAGCGTCTTGAAAATGGGTTTTTGTTACCATCATATTTCATGGCTGTAACATAGAAAACAACTTCTCTTGTAATTTTGAGGAAAATATAAAGATAAACTGGATTATTGAAACTTTTGAGGAAAATATAAAGATAAACTGGATTATTGAAATTTTTGAGGAAAGGACAAGATAAAACTGGATTATTGAAACTTTTTTGATTGATTCTATTGGAAACAGATTTTGCTATTGCTTAGAAATTGGCACAGGTATAATATAAAGCCTATTGATGACGCAATTTAAGACTCATTGCTAACAGTGGGCCTTTGCGAGCGTGGCGACGATCCAAACAATGGCAGTAAACTTCTACGAATTATCCAAAACTGATTGCAGACAGTTTAAAAATGCATTATGGGATGCTTGTGTAGCGCAAAGGCTTATTGTTAGCAATGAGTCTTTAAATATATTTTCTGCAATAGGCATTTACTTTCGGCAACCCATAGAAGAAACTCAGCTTTTTATAGTTCAAATGCCTATCTAGTTAATTCCTTTAACTGTTATGTATATATTTTGTCATTGTATAGAATGCAGATGGATCATTGAAGGAGGTCCACGTGACTTGTGATGACTCAAAGAACGTTGCCAAGCCGAAGGCTTTCATACACTGGGTTTCAAGTCCAATCAAATGTGAAGTTCGAATTTACGATCGGCTGTAAGTAATTGGTATTTTGAAGACCTTTTGAAGACGCATTTCAATAGGAGCGAAGATTTGGGCAATTTATAACTCTCATGAACGGGTCTGGACATCCAATTCATGCTTTAATGGTTGGACCACCCAACTATATCCTTTCGTTTTTGTATTTTTGATTCGACGGATCTTATTGTTTTGACTTTTGCTTGTTTGTGTTTCAAACTGCAAATGCTCCCCTTTTCCATGAAAGTTGTCCTTTACTGGCAGTGCACCAAACCCCTTTTGAACGCCATCTTCAATTTTAACTGTCTTTTTGGCTTTTAAAAAGGCCAACTCTGTCACATGATCAGTTTTCATCGATCGGATTGGTTATTATTGATGCAAATTGCGAGATAGCCAATGAAATCTGTAGGTGCTATCATATTCATTGAGGGGTTCCTGACCCATATTTATAGCGAGCCTAGTAAACTTAACTGAATCCCTGATCTTTAATAATCCCGTTACATTATTGTTTAAAATTATTACTTTGTGATTCTCACTATGATAGCTACAGGCAATTTTCAAGTCTAACAAACTGTTATTAATGTCTTTGAAGTGCAGAGAAACACGACCAAATGATGGGCCTTGTTTCTATAGAGTGCAAAACACAGAGCACTTTATCATCCTATCATATCCTTATTTTTGGATAATTATGCTTGCTAAGTCAGTTTAATGCAAATCATACTCTTAGTTTGATTTTGTTTTTTATTTTCCAGATTTAAACACCCCCATCCTGAAGATCCTTCAGAGGTCCCAGGAGGATTTCTTAGTGACATAAGCGAGGTAATCTCATTGTTACACTGAATGGACTTTTTCTAATACTTTTTGCTGTCATTACTTTTGTTCTGTAATTTTTTGTGTCAAAGCTATATTTGTTGATAATTAAGGCAGATCAAGGGACTCCCACCCGCAGATGGATAAACAGAAAAGGCGGACATAGATAAGTACCTCACTAATCGTCACGGTAGTGTTTGTAGACTTTGCATGCTTAAATCATAAAGTTTAGAGGGGGAACGTCTCGAGTTTAAGCAAAACTACAGCTCGCAAACGGATTTCAGTGGTGACAACCACACATGGATTGCACATACCTCCATTCTTGTCTACCTTAACTCTGATGCTTTTAATGCATTTGCAATTAAATCACTTTCAGCACTAAGATTTGACGTAAATATGGATGTTGGTATTTTGAAGTGGGTTTTAGAAATTATTTGGTCCCCGACTGAAAGAGGAGCAAGCGACTGAAAGACTGAAAAGCAAGGAACTGGGAAAAGAAGCTTGGGTCTCTTTTTGCGATTAATTTTGACGTGTTTGACTAAATAATGATTCTAAGACCACAGTTACAATGGTAAGAAGCAGAAAGAGAGACATGGGCACAAGGTACAAATTGTTTCTAGCTTATAGGTTGGAAAAAGTGCCCAGCTGATGGGTTAGCAAAGGATTTAGAAACACTGGGCTGTCTTCAGGGTATTCTACCACTTTCATCAAAGTATTTACCTGTATTTGATTTTTAATTTTTTAAACTCTTGCCCTTAACACTTTTCTTTTATGCAAATTTGAAATATCGGTTCACGAACTTTCAGAACTCTCTGACGGTGATTGATAATGCCTTGGTTGACGTCACAGTAAAGGGAGCCTCTACGTTCACGAAGTTCCAGTTTGAGAGGTTGGGATTCTTCAGTGTTGATCCAGATTCAGTCAACAACAAGGTATGCTTTCTTTTGGAGTGTTTTGATTCATACATACAGAGTTTTAACGAGGGACACGCACTGTGCTGAGAATAATAATCATCATCTACTTTTCTTTTGATAGAAACTACGGGCATTTCAATATCTTTCTAGCTTCAATAATTTGATAACATCATTTAAGTACAAGGACGTTGATAAAAAACTACCATTTCTGATTCTAAAATATTGCCAAGGTGATCAGCTTTTTTTCAAGGCGACATGATCCTCAAAATTAAGCGATTTTTTCGTGTGCATATTTGGTCGTTTGAAATTTGTTGGAAATACGTGACGTTTCTCTTGCAAAGCAATTAACAAAGATATGCAAAGCTTGGTTTTGCTTCCCAATTCTGAAGTCAGCTAGTTTATTATTTGCAGAAAATGTCAACAAGCTTCCAAGAATGTGCTGCCCTCCAATGTACATATTTACTTATTTTTGATCTTTCCTTGAATATGTTCTCCAGCTGCTGCAGCTTTTTTGTCTTTTCGTTCAAGTTGGTGTTTAACAGAGTCATTGCCCTCAAAGAAGATGCCGGAAAAAGTTAGCATTTCATGAAGCAACAGCATTGTTTGTGAGAACACAGTACTAGATGCAGTTTTCAATTGTAGTGAATTCATTATCAGAATTTGAAAAAAATCACTGTTCATCTTTCAGTTTGTTTACCTGTTAGACCGGGAAGAGTTATGGTTGCAATCCGGATTAATCATCACCAATCAAAATGATCATTACAGTCATCACTACTATCATCACCGTTGTCATGATCATCAATCATGATTATAAATCATAAACATCAGTCCTAGTCTCCAGCATAGCCAATCATTACATCACAAAATCATCATTGTCATGATCATAAATCATCAATCTTAACCTCAATCATAGCCAATCATTATCATCACAAATCATCATTGTCAGTCATCGCTATTATCGTCATCATAAATCATCATTTCCCTATAAACCCAATCAAACATCGATTATTGACTCAGCCTGTTCTTTCAAAATATTCAGGACCTGGTTTTGCGGCTAAATTCCAAGTCTTACGAAAACCTGATTCCTAGGTTATTTACGTTATCTTGTGGTGATCTTGGTCACCTTCTTTTGATTTTCACAACGGCACGCAATCATGAAAGAATTAAATGTGTTCCATTTGGTCTCCTAGGTATTTTGATTTTTATCTAAACTAAAATTTCGCAAACAAGTTTGAGTAATGTTCTCATACATTGATATTGGCAACGGCGAGCAATAATAAAAGGAAGTTTCGAACGGTACCCTTCCTCTTAACTAAGAGTATTTTCCGTGCAGTTACTTTCAATCCGACAGTCTAAACTGCGTTGTGACGTGTTTAGTGACGTGCTGTGCTTACAGTGTAAGCAAACAGGTTTCTTGATAACCAGATAGCGAGTAGGTTCTGGACACTCGGAGTGGGAAAGTCAAAGAAAACCAAGAGTTTTAGTTTCCTGGCCACAAGGGAGTTTTAGTTTCACTGTTTTTCATCTCGTAAAAAAGTCTAAATTCTATCAGCCCAAAGTTGAGCTCTGTTGGTTACACAAACTTTGTGGAAACCCAATGAATGGATGTCTTAGATTATATTTTAAGAACCTACAAGAAATTTAGAGGAAAGGCAAAGACTTTAATCACCAAATAAAATGACAAAGGGATTGTGCAATTCTAGAAGGTGTGGTGCTTTTTCAAGTACCCTCATTGTTATGGGTTCTTGATGCCAGATGTAAATCCTTTTGCAGGATTTTATCCTAGGGCTTAGGGCACCCAGTAGTTTTTTAAAGGGAGCAGGGAAACAAAAAACAACAGCAGAAGTACTGAAAATACTTTGAATAAATACAATGAATAACTTGCACCCATACAAAATCTTTATCCACTCAACAAAATGCTTTACAACACGAGTCACATCTTTAATTTACGCCTTACTCTAATAGCAACTCAATTTATAATATTAGCATATGAAGGGTGTTAATGATGAATAAAATCGGATGGGTTGAAGCAAGATAACATAAGAGATCAAGATACGTTATTTAAAGATACAATAGTTCTCTTGTGTTATCTTGGTAGGAGGCTTATGGTGCCAGACAATTGTATAAAAACAGAAATAGGAATACTGTGACACACCTTTTCTATTGTCTAGCTATTTTCAAGTTGCCAGACCCACTTGCAGAGCTGATAGAAAGGGCTATCAAAAAGGAGTTATAACTTACAGGTTAAATGTAAATTGATGGGCATTTTGGTCAAATACAAAAGCTGTTCCATATGTAATTAAATGAGGATCTGGTGAAACAAAACCTCACAACCAATAACATTAATACAGTAGGATATATTTGTGGTATGATGCTTGGGCTCAACTTGTAAATGGCTTTGTGGATTCTAAAGTCCTTAATCGAAAGGTTTCCTAGAATGTTTGAAATCTTATAAGTCTGAAATAGATTAATTTACACTTTTCAAGGGACAGTGTTCTTGGTAATATATGTTGAAAAGACCTTTTGTAGACTCAAGATATGGAATTACAGACTCTTGTGCCTAAGGGTTTGAAAGCTTAGAGGCAAAATCCATTTTTTAGGAAAAAAGATCTAGCAGCTTTTAGAAACTATTCAAAATCTGGAAAAGTGGAAAGAAATTGGAAACATGCTTTGGGTTGCCTTTTCCTTACATAACTTCTCTACCCTCTCATTATCCTGAGTAATCAATGCTCCAACATTATGTCTATTTTGTTACACATTTGTCTTGTTGTTAAACATATTGGCTTAATTAGGTATAATACATGAAAATTATTTTGAAAATAAACCTGAAGTACCTTTGAGATGCTTTATTTATGCATAAATGAATAAAACATAATACTAACTTGAATTATATATATGCACCTAAAGTTGCATGTTTGGTATTGTTGAATCAATATGTGCTTCGAAAAATGTTAAAATCAACCAAAGCAAATGATTAATTAACTTTTAACTGACTCTTTTAAAGGCTAAACAATTAATGGAGGTTCATATTTACTCAAAGGGCCTTTTGCTTGAACCTAGCCCCTGTCTTACTTACAAACATTTCTACCTTGAAATAGTAGTTTTTTAGACGAAGGCACGTTCTTGCATTGTATGAAAAGTGGCCTAAGTTGAACCCTTTATAAGATAGTACATTTTCTGCCACGTTTTTTCTTTATTTCTGGTGATTTTCTGTTGATCTGCCTTACCAAGTCTTCAAAGATTAAGTTTACATTGATTTTCATCTTTGCAGAAGATTCTAAGAAAGTGCTGCAAGAAAGTAATAACACATAAGTATCCATGAATGATAAACACCAATATCAGATAATCTATTGAATATTTACTTTAGTATATGCAATTGTGGTGCTCTTGTTTATATTTGGATTGTAAAAAACCCTTTACAGATAAGAATAGGCCTAGCAAAATGAAATTTCTAAGGTCTACAAGGTCCTTTATGTCCTTAGAATTTGATTATTACCAGTCATATAATACGAAGACACATGATCACTAGCTTATAGATTCTAATGAAGACAATGTAAAGGACAACAAGAGCCGGGTTGGAAAGATTGAAGATTGTTCCCTGGTGTGCAACTTTGAGAAAAAACATATGCTCCAATATCGAACCTTAAGAATATGAGAATATAAGGTTCAGTATACTAGATAAATCTCTACTTCTTGGTAGATATTCTTGTCTTTTTATATGGTTTGTAGAGTTCAGTAAGAATCCTTGTAGCTTAATCAAACCACAGACACAAAGAACCAAATATTCATACATTAGAATTCACTCAAAACATAGAAATTTGCAAACATCCACCCAGTTGTTTGAGGCACAACAAACTTTCCAACCATGGACAAGGCTGTCAAGAAACTTACTGTATTCCCATTTCTTTTGCTAAATGTTGACCCTGGTCTTTTCCAACAACTCTTTCATCTTCAAGGTCACATTTATTACCAACCAAGACCATGGGCACCTGTTGATTTAAAGTTGTTTTTTTAAAGAAAAACTCCAAACAACCAGCAATTTGCCTTTAAAAAATGAATCTGATATGAATAAAAGGTAAGTTGCCCTTGACAACAGATAAACTTTTGACATAGCTTTTAACTTTTACAGAATTTTATTTTGAAGTTGCTCAGTTCATGGGAAAAAGCAGTGGCTTATATCAATTCTCCACAATTCCAAAGCAGACTAAACTTCTGTGTATTGTGCATTGTAGTCCTTCATAATGTGCTTTTGTTTACATAATGAATGAAACCACAGGTGTCTTTTGTCCACTTAGTAAATGAAAAATTTATCTTTGTTTTCCATCAATTTTAAATCAAATTAAAGACAAATATATTTTTTGAAATGGAGAGGAATCTAGGATAACTACATAACTGTGGTTGGCCACATAATTTGTGTGAAAACTAAATTTAATGACTCCAATCTCAAGTAGGCATCAGATAAAAGCAAACAAAGATAACTGATGTTACAAGCAGGGTAACTTGATAGAAACAAGATATTTTCTTCCAAATATCAAAATATCTCTGCTGAATATCATGCACTATGTCCTGACTGAAGCATTTCACTGGGCTTTTCCCATTGATTTAATATTACAATACATATTATTATCTCTCCAATCAGCAACCTAAGGCTAATTCTCAAGGTTTTCTCAATTATAAACATGCTGCAGAGCCTATTGTGAACTCCGAAAGTTTCCCTGACAGGATATATTGCCTAATGTATCATGTTAATCAAATTATACCAAATTGTACTCAAAAGAAACAGAAAATGCTCACATCATCAGTGTCTTTGACTCGCAATATCTGGTCTCGTAAATCCATTAGATCATTGAATGTCCCTTGTGATGTTATTGAATATACTAGAACAAATCCTTGGCCATTTTTCATATAAAGATCTCTCATGGCTGTAAATTGTTCCTGAGTAAATTAAAATAGTTGGTATTTTTATTATTTTACATAACTATCAAAAAAAGAGAACAGTTTGAAAGACTGATCTAGATGAAGGTAGAGTTTTTAACCATGAAAATTATACTAAATAGCATAGTAGAAAATGGTAAAATGTTTGTAAATAATTCTTATTTTTTACCAGCATTACATAAAAAGGGTATATTGAATAAAACTTTAAGCAAAAGTAAGTAAATAAAGGATAGGCCACAGAACTTTAATGGAATTCTTGTGGCAAAAAATTAATAAAAATGAACAAACAACAATACACAAGCAGAACACAAGCAAACTAATGGTAGCTTAAGGTTCACTTTCTTACTAAGTTAAGTGCAAACAAGGAAACTGATTTGCTTAAAACTTACCGTGCCAGCTGTATCAAGGATTTCTAAAATACACTGATGCTGATCAACTTCAACTTGCTACAAAATAGGAATATCAATTATATATGTGGCAAAATGTAAAAATATACAAAACAAGACACGAAAAATTGTCTTTATTTTGTTCTTGGAATCTTATCAAAAATAAAGAAAATGGAGAGTTATTTGAATAAACTAAAACCCATTTGGCAATCTATACTATAAAAGAATTAAAGAGTAAATTACTTATCAAGAGGTTCTGTTGGCCTTGTGAGCAGCTGGTTTTGTCTGATTTAAAAAATCATCATAACTGTAAAAATTTCAGTTTATAAAATGATGTTAGGACAAGATATTAAGAAATTATGACAATATAAAATTATTTACCTTTCTATATGAATCTTCTATTGTTGGGTCGTATTTTTCAACAAAGATCCCTTGAACAAACTGTACAGTCTGCAAGGAAATCAAGGAAAACTTAGCTTAAATAGGTGTGCAATGACATGCATAATTGCAAAACTGGGTCTACACATCATCCACTGAGGGTAAAGAATTAACAAATAGTTACAATATCAAAGTTGAAAGAACTTTAGCAACATTAGTTGTTCTTGGTGCATCCAAATATGGCGAGTATTACCAACCTGAAGTAACTACAAGAACCCTGAATATGGCAAAGATTTAGCTAGAAAACAGAAAGGGTGCCACAAATCTTTACCAAGGGTTAATCAATTAACCAACTGTAATTTTACAGGCAGCATTTGAAAGTTTTTACACCAAGGTATGCAATAAGGATTGTGGAAAACTTCTTTTTTTGGGAAAGGCACTCCTTTGAATTTCACTCATTGTATGGTGTCTTTCTATTCTCATGCAATCAGTTTCACTTAATGTGTACAAAGAATGAATTATGTTGCAAGTTCAAGATCAGATATCACATTTCCAAAACATAACAAAGTTGATGCCTAACAACAGGTTTTTAACTGTTAGGGAACATATTTCAGAAACAGATTACTGTTGGACCCAAGTGCTGGATACCAATCCTTACAACACAGCTTGTTTTCCACTGCCTTGAACCCATGTTAATTATCAGAGAAGGGAAATTTTCAATGGGAAACAAATTTTGTCAATAATCTAGAGCCTCATAAAGACATTACCCTTGAAATTACTGGAAATATTGGTTTTCCTCCTGTAAACAAGAGTACACACTAACAATTTATGCTTAATGGCATGATTTATGTTTAATTGATATAGTTACAAAGGTCGTAAAACTTTTAAGGAGTTTGGGAACAACCTCAAACACAAAACTTCTAAGCAGTGTGGGATGCATATACACATATATTGCACTTCCTCTTTCCTTTTCAGACCATCATAAAGCATAAAAGAAAAACAAAACATACGCGAAATTGATAATTTGAAAGAATCAGACTAAAAAGGATAAAGTTTAGTCACGCGAGTTTCTTCCTTGTTTTTTCTTGAAGGTTTAGTGAAAATCAAACAAAATAGACCTGCCTCTGTTATTATAACGCTAAAAGTTCAAAAAATCTATGAAATTTCTTTTACACTATGAGTTTGCGAAAATTTTCATCCAGTATTTCAAGATTAAAAAAGAAATACAATTAGAACTCCTACAGAATCAGCCCAGATTTCAACATCAGCTTCGCATCGACCACAAAACTGATTTCCAAATCGCGATTAACGAAACTCCCTTTTCCTTTTCGCCTACTTCCCGACCAGTGTTGACTAGTCTCCTCTTTTAGCGAGAAATAATTTGCGATTGTTTTCGATGATGTTATTCGTGAGAAATTTGCGCTATTTGATAACGGAACTAATTGATCCAAATAATTCCTTCAAAACAAATTTTGAACGATTGAAAATTCTGTAACTCCCTAAGAACGATAACAGTGAATCTTGATTGACTTGTTGTGATTCAGCAAGAAACAGCTGAAATGTTTTAATATGAAATCTGATCCAAACAATATATAGTGCATAAAATTTGAAATCAGTCGTTAGGATAAGGGCAGTAACTCACCAAGGCACTTTTGCCTACACCACCTGATCCGAGAACGACCAGTTTGTATTCCCTCATATTGATCTATGTCCTTCGTATTTATGTTTTACGTGTCTTTAAAAAGCGATTCGCTTATGTACTTCAATTGCTGGATATTATGTTTGGTTTTGCAGTTCCTGATCGGTTTGCAATGCCGAATTATAACAGTACCTGCTCCACCGTCGAGATTCTAGGCGTTCCCCTTCGATCGTCTAAAAATATCTCCTGTTACTTTATGTTAAACATGTTAGGTCCCAGTCCTTCCATCTCATGGCAACCAGTGATAGCAACAAGCATGTTGAGTCAAGAAATGGCGTCATCGGCCCTGCTCATTGTCCTTAAAAGCTAGTCAGAACAAAACTATTTGATAAGCTGTGAAACTTTCTAAGAATCAAACCTTGATATAAATTTTGATGAGTAATGTCATGGGAAAAATGTGACGTCAAAGTTTTGGAAAACTTTGTCTTTTTTGTGACTTACGCTCTTGTTTATTTTGACTGATTTTAGGCTCGGGTTCTACTATTGTTTTTATTTAAACATTGCCTTTTCTGTATGTGTGTATTTCAAGATGTTTCTAAGGCATCAACTGACGCTTCTCATGACACTTTTAGTAGCACTGTGTCATTCGTGACAGTTTTAGTAGGAGATTATCTGATAAGATCTACTCTATTTTGTTTACATGTGAGAAACAAAATGTTTTTTTAAAATTTTCAATTTACAGTTAGGCATATTCTTAGATTTGTCTTTTCTGCTAATAAGTCGATCCTCAGTGTGTGCTTATAAAAGGAGTTTTCTCGGATGTATTTGGCTTTTCAAATCCAGGACAAGACAAGTCAGAAGTTTAACTGAATTTTAAAAATCTGTTTTAATTTCTGAGCCAAGATAAAGAGCTCATAGAGTAAAGCAGTTTTTAAAGTCTTGATTTTTCATAGCCCAGACAATAAAATGCCGTTCACAAGATTTCTATTGCTCATTCAAAACATTTATTGATGTGAGCATAAATAGAAACAGGTGATGAACAAGGAAGGAAATGTAATTGTAAATTCCCCTGCTTTACACTGTACAAGCAATAGAATGTCAAAAAGTGGCAATTGGGTGCTTTTCTTTAAAACTTTTATTCGGACCACATAACCTGAAAGAACAAAAGAAGAACATCTAGTCTCTAGGTATATCATCTATGTATTGATCAATCTATTGTAGTTTAAACTTCGAATGTTTATAAATAAGCATTAAAGAATTATCCATATTTTGTATTTCACTCCTACCTAAAATTTTCTGGATTATCAAATTTCTCCAGATTTCGCTAGAGGCAGTTTGACTGCGTTATATCTTTGCCAGCAGTCACAGCCCAGGAACGCCTTTTTGTCAGCAAATCTGGGGATTTGCACCTCCTTCCACCAATTTTCTTTAGAAATGAATTCCAAATCGTAGAATTTTCGATCTACAGTATATGTTCTGACGTTTTATACTCTGAATAGTGTCAGATGAAAGGCTTTAATGTTACTCAAAATGTTTGCTTTTTTCAAAGCCAAATTCTCTTTAGCTTCGCCCTTGGGCTTCAGTGATTGTTAAAATCAGTTTACAAAATACATAGATCGATAAGACTGATGAGGCGACATAAAATCTACAAATTGGTTTCGTCCTAGATTTTAAGGAGTGTTTCAGCAAATCTTGTAGACGTATGATAAAATCCTGGCATCGTTTGCCATAATTTTAACTGTTCGTTTCAAAATTTGGAGTTTGTTTAGAGCATTATGAAAAAATTGGGAGTGTGCTCATGAAATACCTTGCTCTTTTCCTTCGCAAGTAGTCAAACCACACCAAAGTTTAAAATCTCATATTTGACCTAAATGCTCTTTTCTTACTAAAAAACTTTTCTTACTGCCTAACATTGATTTATGCCAAAAAGCATAATTTCAAAGCCTTTTTGGGAGTTCTTCTCATTTTTAAAAAAGCAATTGGAAGTAAAAGTGGTTAATGTTGAGACGCTTCTTCTTAATCACAGACCCTTTATTTGGGACACCTCAAAAATGCAAAATTGAAAACAGTGCCCTAAAATCTGCTTGCTTGAGTGTGCTTGGACCCCAAAAATGTCTCAAAATTTACTAAAATCTGCGCAAAATCATATTAATCTTGGCTTTTAGAATGTTTATCCCCCAGACCTTTTAGCCTTCGATCACAGACTGCATCTTCAATGACAAATGTTTTTTGGTACAGATTTAGCGAGAAAACACACCCGAGTCTTTGGTTTCACATCCTTTATACCACCTTGCATCATCCATGTCATCGTCATTTGTGGATGACAAAGCTATGGTAGCGGACAAATGATAACATAAGCGTGTAAGAGTAAATTGATACTTAAATACAACAAACAACGATAATATGCGTCAAAATATGGTTAGGTACAGGTTTAGAGTTGATATGAAAGCTTTTTTATCCGCATGCAAGTATATTACTGAACATTTACTTAAACTAATTTTTGGATACAATTTCTTATACTGCAATATGTTTTTTCGCCATCATATGTATTTTATGTCTAAAATGGTATTTTTCCTGGCTTATCGTTGTCGTTGAAGGCTCAAGCATTTTGTTAAAAGATTCATGTCGAATGTCTGAATACTATCTAGGAGGACTGGCTGCAGTTTTGGGAACCTTCATCTTTCGCTTCTCCAGCTTTACTGCAACGAGCTCTGTGTATAACAAATTTTACGAAGAAGGCAACAGGTAACTTTGCGTCTTTGCTAGCATCAGGGTCGGGTTAAACCCAAGACTATCGGAGTCGGGTTAAAATCTCCCAATCTCCCAGGGTGTCTATCGGTTCGGTATACCCAATATAAAATGATACAACTAAGATAATCCAACTAAAACCCCTTGATTTACCCCTTTTGGCATCTAGATTCTCGGTGGAACGGTCTCTGTTGTCCGAAACAAGACCATCTTTGAAAAGAGCAAGCCTTGACGAGGTGAATGACCCCTTGCTCTTACATTACTATCAAGTTCTCGTACGGTTCCTAACGACTTTTCCTCCACCAACTTTCATATTTTTGTATGCTCTTTTGGAAGGCAAAATCACAAAGTAATAAGCGGGAACATGCCGTTTTATTTTATCGACTAGTCGCTGATTAGCGCGTCTTCCGTACCAAGCTTCACATCGGCGCGAAAATTCATAAACAACTGAACTTATTTGATTGGTAGAAATGCAATCCTTTGCATCGTTGACTATGGTATTATAAATTAAACAAGGCTTCACAGTTTTATAAAACTGTTTATGGCTTTTTTAATATGACTTTGAATGTTTGATGAAATGTTGCCAACCCACGAAATCTTTAACATACAGAGCACTTTTTCGAACCAACCTAGTTCTGTGTGCAGACTTTACAAATAGAGGAAATTGTATATTTCTTATATAGCAACACTACCATTATGAGGTATGAAGTATTTGCTATAGGAACAGGTTTATTGAAGGGAAATAATTATTTCCATGCTGTTGTACTTGCAATTTCCAGCACGACGAGCAAGAGAAGCAGGACCTGTATCTTCATGGCTCAATTAAAACCTGCCTTTGGCGAAGATGGAAACAAACAGAATCCAATATATACTAAGATATACATAGCACAACATTTTGGCAATGAGGCCTACTTGTTCTGTAAAAGCTAACTTGCCATACACACGAAGGTATATGGATATATATCTGACCCTCTTATGACTTCTAAAAGTTTGGAGTTCTGGGCTAAATATTTCTGGACGTTTGTATTATTATATCTATTTATGTTTTGATTTATACTTTGTTTTGACGTTATAGGAAGTTATTCTAAATTAAAATTGCAAAGGAAAGACACGTGAAAATTGCGAAAATTTGGATGGCAACATGAAGAAAATTTCTTAAGCTCAATGAAAACATGGAGATTCACAGTTCGTTACATTTTTTAAATATTCTGTAAGTGATTTCATATTTTAGTTCTTTTGCTGTCATCTCTATGACTTATGAGCCCCTTCGAAGATGCCCCCGTCAAAAAAATGCTGAAGTAATAAGCCCCTTTGGGGACAATAGGAGGATTTACGATACTATAATTTTGATTGAGTTTCAACCGAACATCCAGACAAGCCCAAGAATACCCAACAAGCCCAGTGCCAGGTGAGAACAACAGCAACAACTCAAAAATCATTTCCCAAAGATGGCGGATGTCTTGTCACTATTTGAAGACAGAGATGTTGTCAGAATTTGCGCTCCCATGGTCCGATATTCTAAGTAAGTTAAATATATTTGATGTAATTTGCTTTTCTTTTTATATTTGAATGTTAACCTGAAGTTTTCTAACTCAATTGTCCAATGGCAGGTCTAAATTCAGCCTTTTAAGTCTAGAATCTCATGAACCACTAACTACTAAATTATGAGGGCAAGAGAAACGGCGTATTTTTGTTTTAGAATTTGTGGTAGCATTTTTGCAAAATTATGTGAATAAACACAAGATGAGCCTTTTTTGGAGGGATATGAATTCTTCATGTTCGAAATTATATTAAATAAGTGTATTCTTTACTCTTCTCGTGTCAAAAGACGTAAATCAAATTATGCCAAATGTAGAATAAAATTGCTACTGAGGATGTAACAGAACTAATTCCTTTTTTATTTTCATTATTACTTTCTTTAAGCTGTTTCCTTTCTTTTATCTATTATTGCTGCTGTTGTTATTGATACAACTTCGTGTAGAGTCACGTCGCCCCTTATTGAACGATTTCAGTAAAAATTGTTTCCTCAGCTTTTTGGTACTTCCTAATAAAATAAAAGTACTACAAGCACATTCTTTGCTGTATAATCTAGATACTTGTGTAAAGACAGTCTTATCGGCTTTTCTCTCTTTCTGCACGAGCAACATTACTACAGGCTACTTTTCTTTATGAAAAACTTAGGCCATCGCCCCTTATGGAACGACTCAAATTTAGGCATGCAGAAAAGCGCACAATGGAGAAAAACCGGGAATTATTATCTGCCTTCTTTCCTTCTACCTTTATCATTCGTCAGTATCAAACCAGACTTGTTGAGCCATTTGTTTTCAAATTCAGAGTAAAGAAAAAAAGCTATCCCCCAGTTTGGTTTTCTTACTTGAATGAGACTTTATCACATGTCACACGTTCAGCCACTCATGAATTGTTGAGAATCACAACAGGAAGCCCGCTGTTCCATCAAAGAAGCCACTAGGCCAATGAAAGTGCTGATAAAAAATCCCGGTGAATGAAAATTGGGAGATGAAAAAACACGTTGTGGGGGTTGGTTTTGTTTTAGCTAAAAAGCCGACCGTGGAAATGACCAAGAAAGTTGAGGTGCAGGAAAAAAGAAGGGTCGAAGGTCTAATGACAACTTTTTTGTTTACATTCCTCTTACTTTTAAAATATTCTCCTAGCTTTTAAGAACAAAATCAAACAACGATAATCAGCAAAGAGTTCAAGTAATGTCGTCAGCAATATAATTTCACGCGTTTTTTGAAGATAAACAAACCTAAACTCCTTCATATTTATTTTTAACATTGCAAAGTCAGAATTCATGAAAAAATTGAATTGTTCCATAAGGGGCGACGTGACTCTATGTGTTTTTTCTTAAATCTGTTTCTTTAAATATTTACAATGTAGCTTTCATTTCTATCGAGTTATTTCTACATGTCCTTCAGTATTTCTTTTTTTCTTACTAACAATTTCATGTAAAATATGCTTTTAGATCTTTTAATCGTTTATGCTAGCATTATAGTCAGGGGCGGCGCGAAGCGTCGCAAAGTAGGTAATCAAAAATTGGCGAGCAAAGCGAGCGAATCCTCCAGGGGGCCCGGGGGTGGAGCCCCCGGAAAAATTTTCCGGACCACGCCCTTTCAAAAACCCTAAGAATAGTGAAGAATCGTATGCTTGATGGTTCAACTGTTTTAGCAATTTCGAAAACAATTTCCCTCTTGCTTTTCATTGTGCGGATTAATATACAACATTATCAATGTGATTATGAACCATTTATGCGTATCTTGATGCATTTTTGTTGTGCCTAACAACCTCTCTTTGCCTTGCCTCATCTAATGCACAAGCAACATCGATATAACCTAGCTGTGCCGTTGGGTAGAATTTGGTTTTGGGATGCTTGATGACTGCCATTTTGTACCCTGTCGAAGTAAACCATGAAAGCCTATTAGTACGAAAGGCGCTTTCGTCTAAAATGTACATAAAGAATCATCATTAAACATTCAACCTATTTAAGTTCGATCTTGATTATTTACATAATGTCTGAGTTCCCATTCTGTGCTTACAACCACAGAATACTCCGCCGCACAACACAACAACCAAATGCCTTGAGGTTCTGTTTCGGAGATGCAGTGAACGGCTGACAGTTCATGCCACGGGTTTTGAGCCTGTAAACGATTCTGGAATAACAGACCTATTCAAATCGGCCAAAAGCCCATTTTCGTGAGCCGTAAAAAGGGCAAGGTAATCAAAAGTGGATTTGCTTACCTTGAAAGGATTGACCAGGAATCACTACGTAGAGATTTCATGCAGACTTATTTGTCCAGGATAAACGATTCTGCACATTTTCTGGACAATAATTTTCCATGAGAACACTTATTAGTAGTTTTTGAAAAGTTTTTTAAATTTACTAAAAGCCTCTTTAAATTGTTTAATCTTTAATTTTTTATCAAAATATGAAAAAAACTTTCCTATTTGGCAAATATTCCTGAAATAAATTATTTAATTTTAAGCGCACCGTTGATAAACCACCCATCACAAAGAGACCAGCGATAAAAAATGTTCCTTCCTTCTTTATTGTTACATCCACATATCCAGGAATAAACACATAGACAGACTCACTGGTTCATCCTTTTTATTTTATTCTGGGGCATGGCTAACCATCCTTTTTTAATTACAAACGCTGTTCATGATTTTCTTGCTCAGAATGTAGTGAAATACCCCAGTGATAGTCGTTTGTAAGCACTCTACTAATCATGAAGGATGGGGAACTGCTCTCGAGGTAATGAAACTGCGGAATGATTACGTTGCTGCGTGGCGCTCTTTGTTCAAAAGCCATCAGCACAATAAGACCTACGTCACAGAAACAGCGAAAAGGTCATCAAACAGGGATCTGATTACCTTGCAGCTTCGCGGCCCTCGCGGTTCTCGTAGTTCTGGCGGTCGTTTGAGCAATAGAACAAAAAGAACATGCGTCAGAGGATTAAGAAATAATTATCGCCTGCCACGAAACAAAAGCCAAAACAAATGAAGATCTAAATGTCAACACGCCGTAAAACAGCCCCTGGACGAGCTTGTCCTTATGGATTTCGATTCACAACAGGTTCAATCAAGACCTATAACATTCATTGTGGTCGTAATACTTCAGTTTAGGTTTAAGCATAATTTTCTCAAGTTCTGGAAAAAAAAAGGTAATCAGCGATTACCTTGATTACCCCTAAGCGCCGCCCCTGATTATAGTATCACTTGTGATTATTTAAATTATACTGATAATAAAAATGTTGAAGTTGAAGTAGCCGGGAATATTTTACAAGACCATGTGTCAAGTTGGCATGTCAACTGACAACTGAGAAGTATTAGTTAGCTCAACTTAGCTTTGCTTAGGGTAACTTAGTTAGATTGAGGGTAAAACCAAGGTACACAGTCCTTTATTTTACCTGGTTTGTTTGCAAAGCAACTTGCCATTTACCTGGATTTTTGCTTTTTTAGGCTTCCATTCAGAACTCTGGTCAGGAGGTGAGTTATTCCTTGATATGCAATTTATAAGTCATACAGCAGCCATGCAGCCAAAAACCAAAAAGAAACTTCTATTATTTTGATCCCAGAACATTTATTTGTAACAGTAATGTACTGAACAAGCCTAGCTCCATCTATAAACACGTTGTGAATCTAAAATTACTTCCCGTTATCGTAGCGGTGATGACACAGATTTAGAGTGGTTCTTTCATCACACTTAACTGGCAGAGAAAATTTTCCATTGTTCATGATGAATATGGTTTAATGTAATTCCCTAAATAATGGATGCTTTAATTAAAAGATGATTTCCAGGGCAACAAAATAAAGTTTCTAATCAAATCTTTGCAAATGGCCAAAATGGGCTATATTGTTACCTTCTTAGAAGCAGGTGCATGGCAACTTGCACTCCTTGTCTCGCCTAGGCACTTGCCAAGGCACAGGCCGCCAATCATTCACCCTAAACTGAGAGACCTGGATTCTTCTACGCTGTACAAAAAGGTAGCTCTGTAATAATGAATTGTGATCTTTTTTGGCCTTTGCAAAGTCTGTTGCTATTCAATCCAAACCAGCTTCTAGAAAATCTTTGTTGATTTGATAATTTATCATTGCTTTAAAGGTATGGATGTGATTTAGTGTACACACCAATGATAGTATCAGATTCATTTGTGAAATCTGTGAAAGCAAGAGATAGTGAATTCACTACAAATTCAGGTAATTTTGCCAAGTTCTTATGTTTTACATCTGCAGTTTTAGATGGAAGTACATTCTGTCATTTTAAGATCTAATGTGATTATTGAAAGTCTATATTCTTCAGGCCTTAATCAGATCAAGACCGTATCTACTCTTTTCAGATATAAAAGATCCACACCACATGAAGATTTGAGTCTGAGGAGCATAACCCTTCACATTTAGATCTAGGAGCAAAACCCTTCACATTGTCTCTTTAGATGTCGATATCTTATACCCAAGGTTCATTCGTTTTCCTTCAACATTGTTCGACCATTCATTTTTAATATTTGGCACACATTTAGAAATTCATATTACATAACATCTAATCATTTTTAGAATACTAGTTTTATGCATTGTTATGCTGGATTCTAGGTGACAGGCCACTTGTTGTTCAGTTTGCAGCAAACAATGGAAAAGACTTGGCAGATGCTGCAGAGCTTGTTTATGAGTTTGTTATGCTATTCATTACTTTAACAAGTAAATTTTGACAGAAGTTGTTGAAAATTTAAGTTGTAGGAAGTAATTGTATATGTAGATTGACATGTTGCCAGGCTGTCCACCAACGAAAATTTCATGAAGAACACAGAAGAATACTATTGAAAACATTGTTATATTGTCAAATTAATTGATTTTTGAGTCAAATATTGTGCGGTTGAACACTTCTTTAAAACCCCTTCATCCACTCCCCCACCTTACCCATAATAAGAATTTGACAAGCCCTAAGCTGACTTTGCCCCTTAAAATAAATACTTTTAGGTTAAAATAACATTGATGTGACTTCACCAAGTAGTAACATATTTCCATATATCTCAGATTCTTACTTCTATATGTTTATATGCATTATTGCTCATTTGGTAATGTCCCTTTAGTAAATCTTTTGGCCTTGTTAAGTGACAAAATGAACCGTTTTACAACTTCAACTTGACATTCATTTGCTAATTACGCATTCTATGTCTTTTTTAGATATTCTGACGGTGTGGACCTCAACTGTGGTTGCCCTCAAAGGTATCTGTATACTCCTACTAAATGTTTGTTATATAAAAATGCTTTTTAATATTGTGTGGCCTTTGTAATTGAACGTAAAACAACAACAAACCCCAAACAATTACTTACACGCGGATCGGGCATATCCATGCATTAGGCACCTCTATACATCGGACACCATCATTCATTGGATATCTATGTTCATGGGACACCACTTTTTGCTCCATGGGTTTGCAATATTTGGAAATAGAAGTTTTGTAGTAGCCCATACTCTCTGGTCTCTTAGCAGCTCATTTTAAGAAGGAGGGATTCATTCACCCTCCACTGCGCTTTTTAATTTGAACGAGTCAGAACAGAAACAACAGCTGATTCAAAATTCACAGATTTAACTTAAATAGGAAATAAATTAATCCGTTTCATCTCAGCCACTTTAGACAGATCCAGCCATTCCAATGTATATTGTTTCAATTCGATTTTCACCTCATCATTTTCATCTAATTCTCAACTTTTTTTAGATGGGCAATGGCAGAAGGTTATGGTGCTAATCTAATTAAATATCCAGAAAAGATTCGTGATATGGTATTGCAAGTAAAAGGAAGACTGGGGAATTTCCCTTGTTCAATCAAGATTCGAATTCACAACAATCTTGTGTAAGTCTCTCCTCATTTTACAAGGAATCGTTTCTTGGTTTGAGGATCTTTCAACAATAAATCCTCCTCTTAAGCTTGCTTTTCGAGTTCAGAAATAGGAAAAGTTCACAAAACTCACTCATTTTAATGACCAAGGGTTAAAGAGGATAGCAAAAGAAAGTTGAGAACCACAAAGAAAGAACGTTGTTTTCTTCTTTTATTATTGAGCATGTAAAGTGTGTTTTCAAGTCAAAAATTTGTCTTATCTGATTTTTTGAAAGGGTACTATGTTATGTTGCCTTCCTTGTACAAAACTGTTTTATTAGGATTGTTAAGTTATATAATTTTTAAAAAAAATTTTCTGATCAGTAAGGTCAATATATACTTTATAAAAAATAGGATTGGTCAGTCCTGATCGAAAGATGAGGATGGTTAAGATCAGTCTTTTGGTGGTATAAAACTTGAAAATGTCTTTGAAAAAAGCAAACATTTGAGTAAATTAAAGCTTTTCGTTTGACACTCTTCAGAGTTTAAAATTTCAGAACATAGATCGAAAACTCTACGCTAGGAAAAGTACATACCCAGTTGAAGATCGAAATAGGCCAATCAGAAACGCGAGCACATGACTGTTGAGGTTGACCAGCAGTGCCGCTTGCCTATGGTTAAGATCCCGTTCATCGTGTTTGCTAAGAGACGGTCTGAATTTTCCTTTCCTGGCTGGAAGAGGGTAATTGGTTCAGTTATGACCAAAAGCTTAGCAAATGATTTCGCAAAACTTGAGGATAGGAGAAGAAATACCTTTATGTTTTTTCTTGATAATTGTTTACAAAGGTTGTATTTTATCTAATAAAGTCCACAAAATAGCCACAACTTTTTTCTAGAAGAGAACTCAAATGGTTTTAAATTAAAAAAAGTAAAAATCTTTAGAAATTTTTAGAAATTTTATGCGTGCAAGATTGAAATCATAGAGAGGACTTAGAAATCATAGACGAATTAATTTCTGTTAGCAAATATTGCCGTCGCCTTTTGCACATTTGATGACATTTTAGGAATCGTTGTGCAACTTTATCCTTCAAAAGTGTATCTGGCTATTGTTTTTTTTAATTAGAGCAATACGTGCATTTTCAATGAACCTAAAGACGATGTTAAGGGCGTGAAGCATTTGGTTTTTTTCTAAACTGGATAGCTCAGTCATTAGAAGGATAACATACAATGTGTTGTCCCTGGCTCCACCTCTGCCCTGGTCGTGTCACTAATTCACATTTCCTTTAAGTATATTTCACAAATCCTGTTACAGTATCATTAGTTCGGATGACAGTTTCAATGCTTTCTTTAGCTCGTAGTTTGATTAAAGCCTTGTCTTTAAGAGAGACTGTTGACATGTGTCGGAAAGCAGAGCATGCTGGGATATCGTGGCTAGCAGTTCATGGCCGTACCACGGAGCAAAGGCATCAACCTGTGAATTTCGAGGCAATAAAACTGGTATCTATAATATTCATTGTGATATATTAGCCAGCTTTCAGTTTGTCTTTAGTAGATGGAAAATGCTTTCGCTAAGTGTCTGAAGTTTCTGTGAACCTGCATAAAAGATATCGGCTCATATTGGTTTCAAAGGCATTTTTACGTATTCAATGATCGTTGTCAATTTATATAAGCCACGATAATTTGAAGCACTTAACTTCTCTACGTCTCTAGAATATGTGTTGTTGGAAAAAGTTTTACTATTTTTTTTCTAACAATCTTTTTGTGGTACTGAATTTAGAAATGGCTTTGAAAAGAGAAAAATATTTGAAACATAGTTAAACTTTTCTTCTGACACTCTTCAGCGTATAAAACGTCAGAACATAGCTAGAAAACTCTACGCTAGAGAATATATACTCAGTTGTGGACCAAAATAGGCCAGTCAAAAACATGAGCACATGACTGTTGAGGTTGCCCAATCAGTGCCGCTTGCCTATTGATAATGTTACCAATGGAGTCCTAAGGTGAAAACGCACTCTATCTGTCTACAAAAAAGTGTTTTTTTTATGTTTATGTAGATAGATTTCAAAACTGCTAGATGGAACGACGATCGGGCTATACCAATGACCCAAAACATGTCGCCATTATAGTTTTTTGCACGAACATGGCGGAATCGTATGTTTTAGTACCAAAGGTCCGTGGGTCGCCCTACAGTAAAAACAATTTCTTTGAAAACTGCCAGATTGTCTTTGCAGGGTACAGAAATAGTATATGCTTCCTTCCACAATAGTGTTAGTAAAAAAGACCACAAATATTGTTTTTCTTTGGTGACTTTCAATGCATAACACTGTTTCTAGCCAACATATTTTCACGATAGAAATTCAAACTTTTGGGTAGTGCAATAAGCCTTTGACAAGCAATCTTAATTTGCAGTTGACGGATGCCTTCCAAATAAAATCATGACTTGCGTTAAAAGTTGGACTAGGCAACTGTGATACACTGTCAACCTATTATTTAAAAAAGCTAAAATTAAATTGGATTTATTTAGGTTGCTGGTTTACGTACCACTTGGTAATGTAATTTTTCGTTTGACAACCTAGATAAAAGAAAATTTGACCGTGCCTGTTATTGCAAATGGAAACATAACCACTGAATCAGATGTCCAAAAAGTCAAGGAAAGGACGGGGGTTGATGGTGAGTTTTGGAAATTTATTCAGTGTTTTACTGGAGTTTATTCCGCAGTTACAAATATTTTGATTTAGGTGATGAAAAGGGGTATATATTTTATTTTGCAGCATTCATGGCCCAGTTCTTGCCAGCTGGAGGTATACCATATGTCCAACATGCTATGTTTCCTTACATATAAACCCCCGTCTTATGCTATTTTCATGCACGTACGTACGTACGTTAAACAAGAAAGGAGTCCGGTATGAGTGTGGTTATTGATTGGGGATGATGACCTGCTTCGAGTGTACTAGGCATGTTTGCTTTGTAGAAAATGGTGTTTTATGTTTACTTGACTCTGGCCACGTTTACATGAGCTGGCTGCTACCCGCCTTAGAGGGTCAGCCCGTTTACGGTCAAATCTCTTCAAACGTTTACATAATACCAGTAGCCAACCCGGGTCAACCCGCCTTGCCGGGTAACCCTTGTCAAGGCTAAGGCTGACCCGTTGAGATGGGTTTGCTTTTTATGAAGTTTTGTCATATGAAGTCGGGTCAGCTAAACCTGGGGTTGTGTAAATGCTTTGATGTAACAAACGTGGGGCCATTTTTACACTTTTGCTAAAAAGTTAAGCTGTCCCGGGAGAGGTCAACCCTCTATTCCCATTTTATTTCCATTTTATTCCCCCGTTTTCTCAACATTTCCCAGTGTAAAACGTATTTCCTTACTAAAGTATAATATTTAAATCTAGTTGCCTTATCTTTAATCCAAGCAGTTATAAAATATGGCATTATGATTCTACCAAAACATTATACCAGATAAGGTTTTCCTTCAAATCCAACAAGATCTGATGCATACAGTGATCTTTGCTGACGTATTGAAGTGAGCTTTTTGCCTTATTCTCCAATCCAGCTTACGTCATATTCGTTTAACATTGAAATTAGCTGTCTAAATAGCAGCTTAGAAAACACTGAAAAGTAGCAGGTCTCTGATTCTACTTTATTATAATTTTGTTTAAACAGCTGCAAGAAAGGAATGGGATAAACTCTGAATGTTTTCATGGCGTTGAATGATTTATTCCTTACTTTCGACTTTGAATATATTAAGAAAAATGTACGTTGAAATGTTGTATAAAGGTATTTTTTGAGATAAATTAGTTGTATTTGTATTAACAAACATTTTACGTGTAATACTAAACATAAAGGCATCTTAATTACAGATAATGAACGTATCTTCAATTTACCATCTTATACTTTAGGTGTTGGTACATTATCCGGGGGTGAAGTCTCAACCCTAGAGGACAGATTACCTAAGAGTTAATCTAAGTCAACAGATGACCTTCAGAGAACAGCTTTTGTTGTTCCCTCTTTTCTTATCGATCACCTAGTTTTCTCGCTTACATCCTCTACTGCTTTCTCTGTTCCGCTTTTACTAAAATATTTCCTTACATATAGCCATAGAATTTTATTCTTGAATTTCATCAAAATTATAGAGATTGATACATTACGTAAGATTACACTATGTTCCACCTAAGATGCAACGCTAACCTTCTCGTCTCGACTGTTCCTGCTTCTTTTCACTCAAATTTGCATTTTTACATTTTACATGCTGATTCCTTTTCTGTACAGACCTTATTACTTTCTAACACATTTTTTACTCAATTATATGCTTACAAAGTGCCCTGCCAACTTTAATTTATTGCTAAACCGTCTTATTTGCTCATCCTGTCAGCTGTCTTCTTAGTTTTGATATTTGGTTGCTTTTAAGCCTAAATCTGTCTACCTTGTTTTCTTTTTCACCTTTTACCAGCAAACGTTCCTGCTTACCTACTTCATTGCTTTCTTCTTCTCTTTCTTGTTGAATAACTTCATTGCCTTAAAGCTTTCTTATTGCTTATTTACTGCACTCTTTATTAGTTATCACTTCCTAATTCGCTACCTGACGTTTAACGCTATTTGTGTACTTTCTTCCTTGCTTCGTCTTTTCATAGTTAGTTATTTGTAGCCGTGTACATAAATACCCATATGCTCCTTTGCTCGGTTTTTGCATTGTCGAATCTTCTAGGAATCTAGACCGTAATTTTACTTTTTAAAGAACTACTAAAATTCCTCATTCCTTGAATATAATATCGTGCGAATTTATTCGCCTTCCTTTCATAGATTATCGTGCGAAACTATTGATATCTAGCATCAGAATTAAACGAGATTATGTTCATATCGCTGTCGTTTCTCTAGCATAACCTAGAATTTAAAGAGAAGCACAAGGAGCCTTTCATCTTCCACGAGATAGTTTTCTACTTGGAAGTAAAAACAGTCTTAAAGATATTTGCTATCCTCCAAAGTCTTAACAAGGTTGGACTAAAACTCATCACGTACATCTTCCCCTATTGTTGTGTTGTGATCATGACTTAGCTTTCACCAATCGTAAGGGGAGTCGTCAGCCCTCAGGAATCATGAGGTGTAGTCGCATCGAAAGGAAGGACCAGGACACTGCTCAATGAGCATTCACAGTGTCCAAAAAGATACCTTTGGATGCATGTAGAACCAAATATATCCCTATATTCCTCGAGCACAAAAATAACCTAGAATTCAAAGAAAACGCAGAGGAGCCTTTTGTCTCCCACGAGCTAAACATTTTGAAATTATTGTAATCGCCTACATCTTTCTGTTGTTTTGTGTTATGACTTTAGTTATTGTAGAATTGCGCTCTGTCTGTGCTCATTGTCAAGGGACATGTTCAACGTTTTGTCTGCGGAATTTTTTTTGGAGGCCTTTACCGGATTGTTATTGGAAATTCTGGGTACGATTGATCCATTATTTATGAACAAAAGTTTTCATAATTCTAAATTTATGAACCCTGGAATTAAAAATATGTATTTGTCATCTTCCAGGGGTGATGGCTGCTCAAGGAATGCTAAACAACCCAGCTATGTATGCAGGATTCGAAGAAACGCCTCTTTCTTGCATTGAAGATTGGGTAAGACAGTGTAAAATCATTTTTCGTAAATATCTGTTTTCTTTCCATCGCAATCTTTCCTATGAGAGTGTGATGAGTCAAAAACAAAGCGTTTGCTTGAATTGCAAAAAAGTTCGCATGAAGGCTTACAGAGGAGTGGGGGGGGGGGGGTAATTTAGAATATCTAGGATAGGTCTGCTCCAGGTACATGTTCTGTCTTGGAATTGGGGCTAAGAATACTTTTTTGAGATACAGTACTTGTTCAAATAGTTATTTTGGAAATAGAAGCGCAGGAATACTTCCATGATATCAAAAACCTGAGAAAGAGTACCTTTGATTTCCAGACAAGATCAATTGTCAATTCTTTAAGGTATGCTGCCCTAATAATAAAATTTATTCCTCTTTTGAATGGTGTTTGTACCCCACACCCAAATATTTGAGCCCCAGTTTCATTGTAGGTTTGAGAGTTCCATCTTTCCAAGTACAGTCAATTTTAGCACTCAGATGTGTTCAAATTGTTCTTGTTTTCCAGGTTGAGATCGCATTGTCACTAGGAACACACTTTACATCCTTTCATCATCATCTAATGTTTATGCTTGAAAAAGTTCAATCAAAAGCAGGTAAAGATTTGTCAACCTTCTAAATTTAAAAACGAATTGCCCCTGTTAGTTTACTTTTTTTCAGTCCCAATGATTAACTATGTTCATTAAATTTAACACAGTTTTTGTAAAGATTAAATTTTGGTCATACAATGGATTCCAAATCTGTCTTTGACGCCTCTGTTTTCAGACAATCAAGCATTGCTAAAGCCTTAAAAACACACCATGTGAGACCCTTCTTTTTCAGAACTCTAATGACTCCTTAGAAATAAAGGTCTAGAAGCCCTGAGCAGAATGTAATCTTCATTAACTAAAACTGTAATAAGCGTGAATTAAATCAATGCAAGGGTTTGATGATCATGTAATTAGATAAGAGGAAAGAGCTGCAAATGTATTGCCAATAGCAAATGGTACAATTTGATTTAACCCTTTTAAATCACGTCAACACGAAACTCGAGCAGATGCAAAATGGTGCACTACATCTGTTAGTTATATTCTGAGTCACTCCTCATAGGTCAGTTGTTTGTTGAAATATTTTTTGTTTAGGGATGTTTTACAACATCAGCTACCGTAAATTATCTTTTTGGCCTCCCGGGGGGGGGGGAGGGGGGGCTTATTGTTTTTCAGCACTTCAAGGTGGGATCTTCTTGGGCTATGTCGCCTTCTGAAATAGAGCATTCGAAAAGGTCGACATCATCCCTCGGAGTACCAACGGCCTGTAATTTTGGTAAAAGGCTCTCACATGGCCCGTGTTTAATGCACATCAAATCTTTGTTTTCTGATCTGTCGTAACTGGAAGAGACATGGTGTGAATTTTGATTTGATGCGAAGTTTTGAACGACCAATGAATAAATGAAAATCTCTGTTTTTTGCCAAGTTTACTTATTTCCGCATTAGTGAACATTTTTATCGGGGGGGGGGGCTAAATTGAGAGGGGGAGCTAATTAAATTTTCCTTCTGAAAAGGGGCTTGATTGAGAGGGGGCTTAAAAGAGAATTTACGGCCTATGTAGTTGGTACTGTTCCCTTCTTTTACCAAAGATTGTTTCTTTCTCGACACTTTAAAAATAAAGCTAGAGGAAATTGTCGGTGAATTTTTTCAGAGTTTAGGTATTAAATGGGGATGAAACCATTATCTAAGTCTTGGATAAGTTTCAAGAATAAATAATTTAATTAATCTAGCAAGCTGAGAGCAGGATCTTGTTGCCCCGTTTAGAGCGTTTCTCTTATAAACACAAGATTTAAATTACAAAGCTTTGTATAGGACGGATGGGTCTCATCCTTCAGGCTGGAAGGTGGGGTAGTTTTGCTCATATAAACAGGCCCTTATAAGCACTTGATTTTAATCAATCCCAGATCTAACATGCCCCGTTGTTTACACAAAAATTTGAAAAAGGCCTTCAAATAGGGATATTAACTTTTTGGGCAAGGCGTATGTTGACAATAACAAGAAGACTGGCAAAAAGTTTTAAATGCCTATTGTGTTAAGTTTTGTGCCAATAATGTTTGTTGTTTTCCTCTTATGAAGCTTAAAGCTAATAAAATCTGCTCAAGCGTCCACTGGGCCAAACAAATTTCTGGAAACACAAACTATAGATATACTTTATAGTTTCATTGTATGAACATTTAATCATTTAAAACGATTTCCATGCAAAGTCAGCTGGCGGATCTGAAAGACTGACACTCTGATAAAAAGTTTACTAGCAACAGTATCCCTCTATTAAACTCAAAGGAGTAAATCTTTAACTGTGTTAGTTATAATCCAAAAAGCAAGGTGGAATTTCTTCCTCGTCCAGTTACTTGCCAAAAACTTTTGTAAACAAAAGCATATAATTGGATAAGAATGATATCCACCTTGCTTTTATTAATCATTTCAGTATAAACAATTAAGTCATTATGTTTTTAACCATCTTTTGCCCTTCCCAAAGATTTTGAACAGCCTATTTGTTTCTCTCTCATAGACCATCAATCTGCACTACAATTAATGGTTTCCATTGACTATTCCGCATTGCTTTTCAGAGCGACTTGTCTTCAATAACCTTAGCAGTACAACAGGAGTTTTAGACTTTTTGTACAATCACTATGGCGTTGGAAAACCCAGGGACTTCCCATAAACATGCTGAAACAAGATAAATTCCTAATGTATCAAATGGTATTCAAATGCCGAATGTATCAAAGATGTTCCTCTTGCATCAGTGATACCTCCTGTTATGAATACCTAGTGCAACAGCCAACAGGAGATATAATGTTGGCATCAGTGGTTCTAAAGGAAAAGTAAATGGTCATTCAGATATATCTCAAGCGACACTGTAGTGAGCGGGTATTTATTGTCAAAATTTCCAAAAAGAACCTGCTTTTCTTTTGCCATTGAACATGACTTTTGTCAGTGTCGGTAGTAATTAGATAATTATTACTATGAGCGAACAGTAGTTGAACTTTTTATTTACAAAATTTTAAGATTCTTAATTGAAAATTGTTTACAAGTTTTTTAATTTAGAATTTTAGAAACAGAGAACAAATTGGATAAACTATGTAAATAGAGCAGAACATTGTTGTTTATTTACAATATATCATTTTGAGATTTCAGTAAATCTGTTCATTTTATTCATCTGCATGTTAATACCCAATCAGTATTTTTTATTTTTGAATAAAAGAATCTTATTTTAGTAGAAAAAGTACAAAAAATGTACCTCACGGGGGTAGCAGAAGCAAACACCCCATTTCCATTACCTAGCAGAGACAAACTTGGTACCATCTTAACTCAATGTTTTCTTCTCTGTCTTTTGCCTTGTAAATGTAAAGGTTAGTCCTGTATTTGATATCAAACATTGGGGAATGTGCTGTTAAGGGCACATTGTCCTGAGCCATGGCTTTGTGTGGTAGGATGGCCAGTTCCTTTCCACGCTGCCTTGTAGACCCTCCCCCCATATCTGTTACCTATTGTATTTGTCACTACCTAGGTTCTGGAGGTAGGTTTAAGGACACTGAAGAGGCTATGCTTAGCAAGCAGTGACCACACCTTGTGATTTCTATGCCAGAAATTACTGAGAGCTTCTAGGTTGAGATGGGGGCACATAAAAATATTTCATTGAGTTTTCAAACAGATTGGGTTACAAATTGTTTTATCACTAGTGCCCTATAAATACTGAATTAGGAAAAAGAACAATTTGAGGACTAAGCATGAAAATTGGCCTAGGCATATAAGACTTCCAGGTATCATCAGCTCTTTAACTTCATATTGGTCTTTGCATACTAAAATTTCCAGACATCTTCAGCTCTATAACTTTGAAATTGAAGTATGACTCAGAAACTACTTGTACTGTACTCTCCCTCACTATAGGTGAAAGCTTGGTCATTTCAGTGATTTGAACCACAGACCCTTATGTCTATTACACTAACTGCTGGGCCATTGTAACATCCAAACCTGGATACCAGATTCTAAACAAAGAATTTGCAGAAAACAGGTTTATTGATTCTTATTAAGAACTCAAAAACACCACACATAAAATCAAATTTATTCAACCAAAGTAGTCTAGTCACTGGCAATTAAATGCTGATAACATTAAGGAATTTTATTTCTCACATTGTTGCCAAAGATAAGTGATCATTCCTACTGCTGCTTAGTTCTTTAACAGCATCTGATTATAGCTGATCTGAATGTGGACTTTTTAATTATCAAATCAACTATTTTTTGTATGCCATTCTTTTACACCTTTCCTTAAAACTTTTGAGCTACATGGTACTTGTCCAGGTTTTTCGCAAATACAAAAACAGTTTCCATATCGTCCAAAATTTGCTGGGTTTGTGTTTCCTGGGAACTTTTCCTCTTTTCTCTTCTGCAGCTCACTAAAAAAATACAAATCAAAATGTTGCTCCATTTTAACTACTTAACTTACTTTGGTTTTTTGGGTACCATAGTTGCATATGAAATTATGATAAGAAGACATTACAAAATCATATTTGAATTTTCATAAATTGATTTTTCTTAAAATTTAGCATTGAATATTGTAGGGATTTTAGCATATCTCAAAACCTAGATTTTTTTAACATTCATTCACTAATATCATCTGACAAACTGAATTATCAATGATAATGAATTTAAAACCAACTATTTAGAAATTTTGAAAAATTACCTTTGAGTAGCACCGCCCACTAACTCTAATAGATTTAAAATTTCATCAGCATTTTTTCCATCAACATCAATTAAAGTTTTGTCCCCATCATCTGAACAAAAATAAAATACTTGAGTGTGATCTTCTTTACAGAGTATAGATGATGTTATGTTGACAGGAAATCAATACGAATATTAATAAAATGTGCTATTTCAGATTAAGAAATTTTTATACACACCTAAAGAAAAAAAAATATGATATTTATTGTCAATGATAATTTGATGATAAATGTTGTTGTAATGATCACAAAAAGAAATGACTAGAGAGGCCACATCTTCTATTTTAATCATTATTTCAACAAACTATGAATTGTGAAACTAAAAACATTATAAAAACAAGAATAAAATAGGTGCATAAACAAAATTAATGACAATGCTAGAGGAATTCATGAGTCTGCTGATCATCCTATCAAACTCATTATGGTAAATGGTAAATGCAAGAAGCTCATTAAAATAATACTAGAAAAAATACCAGCATTAGCAGCTTGAACAAAACTAGTTTTCTGTCAATGTTAGAGGTAATATCTGCTTTCTGATTAGAAAAAAAATTAATAACTTTACTTACCAAAAAATAGTTTCAGCTGGGGGTAGTCTGTGGTATTTCTGAAAGTTACTATTTGGACAAGAGGATTTTTATGTTGAATTTGAGGTACATCTCGTAGGATAAAATTCCTAAAAGAGAAATTAATTAGGCATGAATTGCTACCTTTATATTTTGGTATTACTATTATTACTCTTTCATGCAATGCCTTCCTTTCCAGCTACATTCCCTAGATTTGTTATTGGTCTTGATCTATCAATTCTAGCATAAACAAGTTAATTGGCTTTTGACATATTATGTTTGACAATGCTTGATAAAACAGACTGTTTTGTTGACAGAGATAATACCATTTCAGGTAATCTAAGAAGGTGAACTAAGAAGGTGTTACTTTATTGGGATCTGATTAACATGGTACCATGAGTGAAGACTGGTCAAAATGGGTACTGATTGTGGGTTAGGTGTTATGTTAATGCAAGACTTCCAGCCTAGTCTAGATGTGGATCTAGCTGGACTTTGACCAATGCAAATAGGATATTGTGTCAGACAAACTCTAATATTCCTACTTGTTGATATACAATAAAGATAGATTTGGAATTTTTGGGTTCATGAAAGTCAACATTTACAAAGATCCTTATTTAATGCTGCAGGGATTTAAGATGTTTATTAATTAAAGCATATGTGTCAGGCTCTTTTTGGAAAGACTTTATATCCTTCGAATTATCTTTTTTGTTGCATGATCTTGATATTGAAGCAGTGGCATAGCGTCTGGGTATTCAAAGTAGTCAGTGAAAACCCTGAGAAATATCAAAATTAAGTGAAATTTCAGTTTCTTAAAATGCATTAGTGACAATTACCTTAAGATTTTGATGCCTTGCAATATGTTGGCTATCGTACAAATTCAAAACATCACGAAATTTATGGAAATATAAGACATAGTAAATGCTGTGAAGCATAGGGAATCTGGTATCTCCAAGAATTAATGCAAAGAATTGCATGCTTCTGTTTTCCTTTACCCAATTGTGACCCTGCCTTGATTTGTGATGGATGATGTTGTATTAGATTTGCTTCAAAACCCATTTTTACCTAAAGTCACCCTACAGCATTGTATTGAAATGAGTTTGCAGGTATATCAAACAATGTTCGTAGATCTTGACATACAATAAAGTGAAAGATCTGATTTGGGTGCCCCATTATTCATGCAATATACTTATCTATGTGTTTTTAACATGGGCTCTGACACAGGCTGGAAAGTGAGAGGAGGGCAACTGAAAATTTAACACCCATGACAAAATATTTTGAGAAAAGCTCTATTGTTTTGTTCAAGATAATCAGCTTTCAAACTGTGCATTTGTGCTTTTCCTGATTCATTTTGCTCCCTTGTTATGATGTGTTTGCAATTGTATCGAATTTCACTAAGATACAATGATCATTCAGGGCAAAAAAAGACACAGTCATTCAATCCAATTTAACATAAAAATAGTGTACATAATACCATATTCTTATAAGAAAGGATAAACATGCACTTGACCTATATTCATAGAGTTGAAATTGGTTATCAGGAATGAAAAGGATCTTTAGTATTATCAATTACTAAAAAACTCTGCAGAATTTCGCAATCTGGGAATTTTTTCAGCGTCATTATATAAATTGGAATCAGCCAATGATTTTGCGTGTGATCAGAGTATCAAAAATAATAGGTGAAATGTAATGATAGATTGAAACGGAATTGGGTAAAGCTAATTTAAGGAGATGTTATTGCATGTACCTTATAAGATTATCTTAATTCTATATGCATACACTTGAGCTTTTCATTTTTTTCTCAATTAACATTAACTGAAGGTGATGACATTTTTAGTTTTACCTTAACCCAACACTGTTGTTTTCGGTTGTAAAGCTTACAGTCACAGTTTTGATGCTCTTCTTTAATGTAAGTCTCCCAGATGATAGAAACTCAATTGTTCTACGATATGGGAATCTTCCTTTCGGCATGTTTGATTCTCTTTCCTCAGCCAAGTGTTACCAAATCAACCACCGTGTGAAGCCTAGCATATTGATTTAGTCTCGTTTTTAATAAGAGGACGTCTTTAAGAAAATGGCGGCGGGAAAGTTGACTGTGGATGCCGTTAAAAAAGCTTTGTATTTACAATCACATGGCGGCGCTATTGGACGTTATTATGTGCAAAGAACTTTTGAACATCTTCAACAGTGTCATGATTATTTCAGAGAAAATGTAAAGGAAATAAGGGCTAGTGTTCCTAGTGACGCTAACCATGCTTTTCAGTAAGTGACCCCACAGTGTTGTATTTTTAATGTTGTGTGCGCGCGAACATGCATCATCTACGCAGTTTTTTATTTTTGAGAATTTTATTCTTAAATTCTTCAAATAAAGGTGTCATTGATAATGGTGCTGCTCACATTTTTTACAAATATTTTTGAGGGAAAAAAATGAAAGGGAATGGAATAATAACATAACCCCAGTACACACATTTTAAAAAAGACTTTATAAGAATATTATAAAATAAGGCTCAAATCTCTGAATACTTTAAGAATAACGCAAGGCTAAAGCTTCATCAAATGTTAAATTTTTTGTTTACTTGCGTTTATTGAAAAGCAAAACAAATGGGAGTTTCAGGCAATATGTCTTGAAATAAAGATATCTGGCCCTTGAGTTATAAACACTATAATGCTACCTGGCTAAACCTGATGATACTTTATAGCCACAGCACATAGAACCATTTACTATTACATTCTTGCGTCACTGAGGAATGAACCAGTTTGCAGAATAGATGCATGTGTATGGTCAATATAGTGCTGCATGCCAAAATTTGAGATAGCACACAAAATATTATAAAGCTTACTACCATGCTACTATTAAGAAAAGCTTCTTTTGCATACCATATGAATTGTAAAAGGGGGTTTATAGACAGAATACTTGAAGTATGCAGAGCATGACAATGGTGCAGCCAAGATGCAGACATTGTTTTGTTAAGGGTGCACCTAGCAGCTAGATTTATTGAAATTAAAACCAGGGAAAAATTATCATTCTAGTGCACCTGTCACTTTTAAGTGATTTTTGCATACCCACCTCTGAGATGCAGGGCTGTTGGTGCACCCAAGATTGTCTAAAAAGCCATAATCTGCAAACTTGGACAACTTGCCTGTTTTGCTATGCAGGTGCAATACTGTACAAGCTAGAGGACAAAGAAACACATTTTTCCAAGGATGGCTCAGTAATTAGCATTGCAGACTATAGACCCAAGGGCATGTGGTTCAAGTCACTAACATGGCATGTCTTTCACTTACGCTATTTAGGTGGATAGGTATCAGACCACACTAGCCTTCAAAAGTATTTATTCTGAATAATTTCATGAAATCTTAGAATAATTAAATTGTTGTTTTCTTTAAATCATGGGACTTTTCTTATCTTCTAGGCGTTTCGTTTTTGAGAATGTGCCACAGCTGAAATACAGAAACCCTAAGACTATGTTTAATTTCAATTTAAGAGATGAGCGTCCACCAGAACTAGTCATTGTTTATGGTAGGTAATAGGTGTTATTACCTCTGTTTATTGTAGATATCCTAAACTCCAACAAAACACCAAAGTAAGCACATTGATTTAGCATTGATCTAATACTGAATATAAAATTTTCAAAATTTCAGTTTCAAAAAGCAAATCATTATTTTTAAATAAAGAATGGAAATGTAGCTAGTCTTTTATAAGTAACAATTGAATTTGTTTGATATTGTTTTAAAAACAGTTTTTCACAGTTGGGTAAAAGAATTCAGGGATAAGCAGGTTTGGCTATTCAAACTTTCAAATTACTGAATCAGATACTTTTTCAGATATTTTCTTAAAGAGAAACCTCAATGAAAGTATTTTTTTTATGTTTTATGTTCTTCTTTACTTTTTAGCTGATGGACAACAAACAGAAATAAACATTGACAGAAAACAGTCAGAAATTTATAATGATGTTATAGAAGCCACTAGGAATATGAATGATGACCTCAATATTGAAAATAAAGACCAAAATTGATACCAAGTGTGAGTAAGTTTAAGGTTTAGGTTTTTGCAATGAAATTTTATTATGTATTGTGTGGATAAGATAGTATATTTGTTGCATATGTTTTTTCTATATTTCTTTAAGCAAACATCACACAGTAACGTAAGTAATGTAGTATATGTCTGCATTTATCTTTCCAACGTGTGATAGATATATTAATTATCACAAGTTTAAAAAATGATGAGGTGGGATAATGGTGGGACCATAGACACATCTATGAGTCGATTTTCTCATTGTAAGAAATAGAGGGGTGTTACACCCCCACCCCCTCCCTTAAAAGATGATATTGCCAAAAAGGAGTGTTTTTCATCCAGGGGTGTTTAATCTGCGGTTGTTCAAAGTTGTTGGCAAATAAAGACCTGGAAATCCCCCTTGAGCACAATAGCTAGCAGTGGCCTTTCAGTTGGGGCACGTTATCAATGACAAGGAGAGGTTATCGCTTTCTGTTTGCTGGTGAAAACTATATTTCGATTTTTGAATACAGGCTGTGAAGTAGTTGATTTTCTCCTCTGTTTGATGATTAATTGTTGATGTATGAGAAACAAAGTCAAGTAAAAGTGGCCTGGTGGTTTGATTCATTTGATCAGTGGCTTTTTCTTACTTTACTTTAGATGTATGGCTTTGTTGTCTTCTTTTTAATTCATTTGAGTATAGTGATATTTATAGTTGACCTTACTCTGTGAATGGCATCTTTTATTCCCTTTTGAGCATGAAGCGGTTATTAATCAAAGGACCCACACTGCGTTGCATGTTTTGCTAACACTGCCTGACTTAACCTGGTTTAATCATACCTAATTGGCTACCCAAAAATCAGGTATAGAATCAATAATAGTCTTATTCTAATATTGCATTTCGAAATAAGAATACCATCTGCTATCAATTTTCCCAACACTTTTCAAACATTGTAGTAATGCACGATGTTATAACCTGAATACTATTAGAGTAGTGACATTACATGTGTGAAACAGTATAATAGCATTCCAGCGTTAACATGAATAGTTTATTGTCAAATCTTTGAACGCAGTGGCGGCACCAGCTACTGCAGAGTGTGTGGGGCCATGCCCTTTTTGTCTCGTTGCAGTGCTTTGTATCAGGGGAGTTTTCTTTAGGGGAGTTTCTATCAGGGGAGTTTTGTATCAAGGGGGCTACCTAACGCTTTTTAATCAGTTTTTAGCAACAATATGTGGATCACGTTTTGGCAAAAATGGGGGAAATTACCCCCCACCCCCCACTTAGCCGCTTTGGCGCCGCCACTGTTTGAATGTCAAGCATAGGCCCTCTTGCGTCTTGTATGTAAGCAGAAAGAAATACACAGAAGAAATACGAATTTGTTTAGCGTAAATTATTTTTAACTTTGCATCACTGAACTAAGATTCGCGTGCCATCTTTTATTCTGGCTATTACTTAATTTATCGTTATAAATTCCTAGAAATCAACCAAAAGAAAACTACAACATTTTCTTCTTCCATTCTGTCATAGCATGCGGACATTGTCTATACACGATAAAGGCTCGATACCATGTTAGAATCAAGTGCTTATTTCAGAAATGACGCAAACAGTTTTTCTTTGTTTTGCTCTTTTCCTGCTGTGTTTGGGATACCTATGCATCATATTTCTAAGGAATCCCCTTTAGTTTTCCTATTGCACAGCTCGGTTTGCCAAGTGTTTACTTTCATGCCTTTTATGAAAAGTATGGTGTTTGGATGGTATAAGTACTTCAATCTAATTCTGTGCTTCCTCAACAATATCTTTTGAATGTATATTGAAGGGATGCAAGTTTTGGATATTGGGGGCTGGGCGGATTTTCTTTTCGTGATGCAAAATGTATGAATCGAGTCAGTTAGAATATATTGTAGCCTTAAATAGAAACTGTTTGAAGGATTGGAGGCTTTTTGCTCTTCCTACCAGTATTGGATCTCAGGTTCATTCAATCTGACATGGTTTCTTGTCATTTAAATTCATGAAACTTCGAAAGGTTGCTTCTCATTATTTCTGCTGTCATTACTCCAAGTCCTCTCTACCTGCGCAGGTTGTTTAACATTCCTAATTTTCAAGTCGAGCATTCGGAGCTTTTTGCGCGCACCACATTACTGCCTAGCTTTCTTATTTTGGTTGGAGATCGGAGTATTTGTAAATAGCAGCTAAGGTGTGAACGTGTAAACATAGTTTACTGATTAGCACATGCCTTTTTTACATTCTTGAAAAATGTATCCTGTTATAACAACCTTTATTTGCATTAAGAAACAAACCATGTTGTTGTCTGCATGAACGGTAGAATAGCCCACGAGAGGACGGAAATTCATCACGGCATGCGTGTATAAAGTTGACTGAGGTACGAGCCTTAAGGGGGTGGAGTATGGGAGAATAAAGTGCTTATAATTTGTCAAGAGTGTTTGGTGATAATACAGTGCAACTTCCTTTTTTTAACTTTGACAGTATTGAAATTGGAGAGTTCCTAGTAAATAGCCATCGTCGTGTGATCTCGGGTGCATTTTCTACAAAACACGAAGTAACCCTAAGTTTTTATGGCTTCATTACTCTTTACGTTTCATTCCACATCTAACCTGGGCCTTCTTTTTATGATAAGGTGCTATAAATGCATTTGGCCTGGATCTACTGTTTTCATTAATGTACTGCAAGTCTGGCACAGTTTTTTGGTGAAGATTTCCTTGCAGAGTTTCTTCACCAAGAATGAAAATTCCAAGAACCAACCCTCTAGTATTTTAACTTCTTGGAATAATTTGTTTATGGATATTTAAAAAACAAACATAACAAAGCATTAATAGTTTTTTAATTTTCATGCAGTGGTTACGAGTTTTTCTCGACCACATAATTCAGAAATACGGTTTTTGGCTTTCCTAGATGACGGCTAAAAAAGCCTTCTTTGGTTCATCCAGTAGTTAACCACTTCGTCACAAACAACGTGCATCCTTTGTTTCAAGCATAATTCAACTATCCATTTGTTGCCGATGCTTCAACTACAGATGCGAGGTGCGACTGGCTCTGATATCTCTATAATCAGTGCAGTCTGAACCACGTGGTACAAAACAACCATACCTGTCCTGTACTGTTCTTAATTTTTGTCGATCCAGCTCATTGGCGCTGTGGCCCATATTCAAATGCTGCCTCGGAGTAGTCTTAGGCGTGAAAGTCCCGGATGCTCCTCGCAAAGACAAATTGTCGTGTGATATATGGTTTGATGCATTTGAGCCTTCAAAACTGTTGTTTTGTTTGTGTTTGCGTATGAGACTGTTTTTCTTTCGCACCAGTTTTCCTTCCCTTTTATTTGATTTGTTCGCATGGTTCGATCGATTTTGGCTCCTCTTTTTACTAAAAGGGATGTTTGCTTGGATGCTATTTAGATACGTATTTGGCAAGGAGTTTGACCTCGATCTCAGTACAGGACTTCCTCGTATTGATTGTGGAGTCGAAGATACAAACATGCTTGCATAGCTTGGTGTAGGAGAGGCGTTTATCTGAATCGAGTCCATATCGATTCTTTTCAACTCCTGGGTATAAATACAAAGTTTGTGCAATTAGCATTCGGAATGTGTAAATTTAGTCCATTTTTTATTACATCTTGTCTACCACTAGAGTGTAAATGTCGAATAATGACGTAAGGCAAGCAAAAAATCTGGGTACAAAGGCTTAATAGAAGCTTGATCAAAAAAGTACTTGATAATTATTATCCCTAATTATTATAGGTTTTATCTTCATTTTGCAGTTCTGATTATCAGGCGTCGATTTTACCTTGAAGTCTTGATCTATGAACCAAAAATCTAATTTTGACACACAATTCAAATCTCAGGGATCTAGGAACATGATTTTCCACCCAGTTTAACCTACCCCTACCTTGCTAGAATTTGTTAGATTTTTCAGAAGTAGAATTTGGCTAGTTTGCTAACAATATGTGAGGTAGTGGAGTTTTTAATTCATTAGAGAACAGTAGAGAGATCTATAGGTCACAAAAGATTTGTATATTTTTTAATTAGAAAATGAATTGTGTGTCAAACAGAAAAATATTGAAAATAATGTGCCTTTAAAGTTTAATTTTGTGCGGTAGTGTAATGTTAAATACAATAGAGATCTGTAGAGAGATGTTTAGGTCACGAAAGACTTTGTCAATTTCTGAATTAGAAAACGTAATATTGAAAATAAAGTGGCTTTAAATATTTATGACGGAGGGTAATTGTGTGACCATACTGCTGATGTTTTGAAAATAACTTAGAAAACATCTGTTTAGGAATTGAAACCAATGTACGCAAAATCAAACCGTGCTGGTTTCTACGCTACAAGAATGCTAGGGTGGAGAAAATTCACAAAGTTTTTCAATACGAACGAAATTTGCCTTTGTTTTTTATTTTTTTCAATAACTGTGCTTTTCAACCCACAGTTCTTTGATTTTCTTCAATTTGCAAAAAAACATGAAAGCATTTTGATGTTTTCTTAAATTGCTATTAATTTTTTGAACCCTCGTTTTTTGATTGATCAATATTTATTGTGGTCCTCGATATAATTTTCCTGCTTTGACCTCCTGTTTCACCCGTTCTTTTCCTTGTTAAAGTAGAATTATGGCAACACTCGGCAACTCCTACTTAGTCATGGTTTTGGTTTCAGGCATTTTGATAACTTTGTTCTATGATTCACAAATGCGAACTCTTATGTAGCGTTTCTAACAGGAAAACACAGGAGCTTTTGTAGCAATCGTGAAGAGCAAAGTTATTCTGGTGCAGCTTTTGGATGCTCTTAAGAGGTGTTGATGAGAACATGATGCTTTCTTGCAGTAATTAGCACGCCCCCTCCCCAGATAAATGACCCCATTTATTTCTCTTCAAAATTTAAAAGTGCAGCCTTGAATCCAAGATACGCAAAGTGCAAACAGATGGAACCGTTTGTTGCAAACCAAAGCATAAATTTATATTGGCGGGGCCCTCGAGGGTTTAGGCAAAAATCGCTGCTTCACTTACAAAATGTCAAATTTCGTAATTTTGCATCGTCTTGTAAATTTTTGTCAAGCTTTACGAGAATGGGATGTTTATTTTCAACTGTGTTAGTTGAAGAGAATAGAATAGCTTTGATTTCTCTAAGGCTAACTTACCTGTGCATTTGACAGTGTTTGGCTGTGTGAAAATCTGAAGTCAGAAGAAGCCATATTTCTGCTTAGCAATGCTTTTCGGAGTTCTAAGCCTCCCTTCTGAAAAAATAGCATATTAATTTTTCGTTTTAAAGGGAAAGTATTGATTGGTGGCGGGGAAGGAAGTGGAAGACAGGGTTGGAAGAAAGGGTAATACATTATATAATAATCTGGCGTTTCCTTTGGACCATCGAAGATTGAAAATTGAATACGTAACATATGGAGGAGGTAACACAAGTAAGAAAGAAATATAAAATTTTTGTGAATATGTTTCTATTATATGTTATAACAATTCTTACAAAAATGTTTGCTAGAAATTTCTTTTAACATAGATTATTTTTAAGGCAAACAAATGAAGCAAAAAATTTGCCTTATTTGTGCCATCATGGATAATTATCTAGAGAATCACCTGCAATAATTCTTCAAAGAGAAATGCCGCCATTTCAAATGACGTTAGCAGATGTATATATAAGGCTTAAAGGTAGATGTGTACAGGTTTAGAATAAATCCGTCTTGTTGATATTTAAGAAAAGTATTGATGCAACTTCTAGAAATCTGTATGAAAAATCAACAAATGTTAAGATCAGACTTTGCTTCTGCGACTGTACACTTATCCCCAGATTTTGCGATGTATTTGTTTACCTGATGGCAATTGTGCAATAAACTCTGAATAGCAATCCGACAAACTCACCGTTGCCTTTTGGTATTTCTCCTTTTCGAGAATGTTTTCTTTCGTCTTCACTTTTTTCAGGGTCTTTGATTCCTAAGGGAAAGATTATGGTATTAGAGTTTTGAAATGTATAACATGTTTACATATGATGTTAACAGGCGTGTTTGAGCTGTGTTCAGAGCAGGTTTGGATCTTGGATGTGAAACATATAGAATGGCATTTTGCAAGGTTTCGAAATTTCTGCATTAAATCAAAGGAGCAAACAGTCACAGTGTATAAGAAATCCATACACCATTTGAAAAAAGGATTTCCTGCAAATCACCCCTTTGCATCTGTCGATTGCAAATTCTTTCATAACCTCCTTTTTTAAAGCTTGCAATCTGTGCATGCGCATTTGTCTTTATTTTCATAAAAGAAATTCTCTTTTGCACCTTGAAAACTTTTCTTGTATCACATATTCATCCTCAAAGGCATTTTCTTGACTTCAATGCGTCGTAAAGTCATTTTTAGCTCAATTTTGACCACTGCATTCTTTAGCATTGTCTATATGGAGTCTTTTTGCGCCCCTGTGCCCTGCGACTTTTAAGGAGACGAGCAAAGAAAATTTTCCTAATATGTGAGGCATCCCCCGTCTTGGAATCAAAGAGCATGCGTAATAGCGATTAAGGTCCATGGGCATGCTGTTTGTGTCCAATTAAGAAAATTTTTTGTTAATCAGTGAGACAGCTGTAGGCCCTGTTCACACGGAAATGACTGCCTATCGTTCCTAATCATTCCGTTCCAAAATGTTGTGCATTCAGTGGTAGCATTCACACGGGAACATTTTTAATCGTACCGTTCCGTTACAAAAATTTGAACACTGTCAAAAGTGGTACGAAAAGTTGACTGGCAAGGAATCATTCCGTTCCATTCTCGTGTGAACAAAACAACTGGTCCGAAAAACGGAACGATTGCTAATTTGGTTGAATGCTTGCATCGTTCATAAATCATAGCAGTACAAACATGTGCATCGACAAACAATTCGTTCATCCTTTAACACAAAATGTGGAACAGAAAGATTGCGTTCCCGTATGAACAGAAACTATTGGTAATTTATCGTTCCGTGCCTGTTTGAACACTTAATTATTTTGTTCCAAAATTTGAAACGCTATTGGAACAGTACCCAATCGTCCCCGTGTGAATGGGGTCTTAGCCAGACGCCTCCATATGAACTCAAGCTGTAGCTGCGCAGCAGAACTTGCAAAGAGCGGAATGAATTGGACGATTAACATTAATAACAAAAGGAGCAAAAACTTTGAATGTACCTGATTCGCTTTCCTCTTTTCGTCTCTTTGGTGCTTCAGGTAAATCCTACTGAAATTCGAAACGATCACCGGAACTGGCAAGGCGATTACCAGCACACCACTTAGGGAGCAAATGCTGCCAACGATCTTTCCAGTTACTGTCTCGGGAACCATGTCGCCATAGCTGTCAATTAAGAGAACTAGTCTTTACAAAAGCAGCATATTGAAGGATTTTGAAATAAGCTTGTTTACTGAGATCTGAGCGAATGACACCGGGACATAGGATTCCTTTCAAAGTTGGAGGGGCACAAGTGAGAAGAGGCACAGTCTTACAAAAATTGGCACTTTTCCATCGTTCTTAAGAAGAAACGTCTCAAAGAGATGATTTTTTCAACTGTTGTGGGGCATGTATCCCTGGTGGCCCCCGGTACTGACGTCCAAACCAGGAAAGAGCACAAACCAGCGACGCTATACCAAAGGAGCTACTTTGTCTTTAAAATCACCCAAAAGTCTCCTACTGGATCCTTGCTCTTGTTGTAAACTTGGACATTTCTTTGAGGTCCTGCCGTACCTTTAAATGATCGTGCTAAATTTGCAATGATTGTTAGTTGCGGGATAAAAAACTGGACAGAGCTTTCCGCAGTGTATACTCTGAAGAATTGTTAGATTAGTGCTAGAAGAATTGCTTGGTGATGTTATACAGCATTATCTATTTCCAGCGGCGGTTTTAATTGACTGCGATGCTTGGACTGCAAAAAAATCCGCGAGAAGCGGGGCCGAAAACATTTGCCAGGACCTTAATCTTTTCAGCTTACATTATTTCTTGGGTGAAGGGCCCCCTCTGGCTACCAAAATCGCGATGTCTGGGGACGTGTCCCCCGGGCACCTCCTTAAAATCACCACTGTCCATTTCATCGTTGGAATAGTTTGCATAATTCAAATTGTTCTTAGCTTTATGTTGACGATCTGATAAGTGCAGTTAACGTTCTAGACGGAAGACCATGCGACTTAAATAAAATGAATTGAGAGTTCAGGGCTTTGCATGTTCCCAGGAAGTCTATAATCTATGATGCCGAGAGTGTGTAGGCCACATGACTAAAACACAATCGTCAGGTTATTTTTGCTGTCATCTTTGCGGCAGCTAAATTTAAGAAAGGTGATAAGGTGTTGGTTGTGACAATGGATAATTGGCCCACCTCAAAGAAAGGATTGGCAATGTAGTTAAGTGCCAAATCTCTTGCTTTGTTATCCCACCATCTTATTATCGTCCTCGCACTGTTTAATATGGCATGTAAATTGCTGCAATAGTTGAGTGAACACTAAAAGTATACTTTTATGTGAGCTAAACTTTACTTGGCACCGAAAATTTTGCCTTATCAGCTCAAATTGCAGTGACACTGTTCTTAGTGACAAGCAGATTTTGCTAAATTTAGGCCTGTATCAATGTGGAGTAATTTCTTATAAACTAATTCAGTCTTTATCTTTTGCTGTTGAAAGTTAAATTCAGTCTTCATTCATTGTAAGTTAATTTAGCATCATGTTTGTTATTAATTAATGGATGAAGGAGCTCTGCTCCTAGGCAACTGCCTAAACGAAATCGAGTCTCCACGACCAAAGCTAGAAAGCTCCTCATTCTGGTAATTACAGCTTTAATTATTGACGAGAGATCACGCCTGTCTTGGCCTCTAGCAATGCACAACTCCAACTGCAGTGTATAGACGATTTTCAGCCGCATAAGTGTTAAATAGAATTAAACATGTCTGATGTACAGTTAATAGCGATGATAACTTGCTTGCAATAAAACATTCCTACTTCGGAAAGCTAATGAGTTGATGCAGGATATTATCCTGAAAACCTTTAAAGAGCACTAGCTTACTCGCGATTTCTGGATGTTCAAATGGGATTGCAACCACAGATTAAATACTCCTGAAAAACATCGCAAATTTCAGCTGAGTGGCCCTCAAATTAAATAAGGTGTTTTGAAGCTGAAATCTGCCGATGACCGAGGTGTCTATAGGAACCAATGAGCCACACGGTAATGAAACGAAATGTAAACGTCCATGGGGAGTTTGTACGCCTGATGTTGCCTAAGATCTCGACAACGAGCACGAAAGGAATTGATCCTGTGGCTGCAAGAGTACATAAGTAATGCAATGTATGTAATACTAAGTCCTACAGAATGCAAGAATTCAAAAATCTGTCTTGAAAGGTATTTTCAGAAATGTATTTATGAAATGAAATTGAGGAGATCGGGGTTTTTTTAAGACAAACATTGTGAATGGATTTTCAACACTCCCTTAGTGGTTCAAACAGGTTTTTTGGTGTGTAAACGGTTTAGACCATATTCTTTTTAAACTTTTATTTACGGCGGCTAAGTAAGTTCATTTCTGCAAACAAGATCAATTACTGTAATGTTAGATTTTCAACTCTTTGATCCTCCTTTTTTGGCTGATACTACAACCTCTGTACATTATGACAACAAAAATTTGGCCTAGAATGATATGTGTCAAATTAAAGTCAAAAATCTCAATACAATTGTAGTCAGCGATGACAGATTGGCAATGTCGCGATAAGTTAGGATAAAAAAGAAAGAAATGTTGTGTGGAAAACAACAATCAACTGCATATGTCTTTTTTGACCTGGCTTTGAATCATCGCTGGGGATCTCCATAGAACAAAATCACAATTATGATAATTCTGATAGTGTTCTTATTTTCTTATCTATAAATCTATCTTATTTTCTAATCTATACATATATAAAAGAAGAAATCTATATTTATAGGATTTGATTTTTGACCACACAAACTACAAGAACACCATAGAATATCAGCTAAATATGTCGATAATCGGATGAGATGTGGCCAATGAAAGATTTGCAGTTTGCAAACGGATTATTGTTATTTTGGCTTGGTTCATAAAGTTGTGAACAGAGATCAAATTACAGTGATTTGATAGGGAAAGATCTGAGACAATTTTTATCAAATTTAGATGATTTTGCACATATGGCCGTATTCTATTTATTCCGTTTGGCGTCTTTAGTTAAATTTAGCATAGATATAAAAATAGATTTTTGCATTGAAAACTTTTCCATTCTGAAGGAAATGTGATTATCAAAAATATTTACTAAAACGAATGTTAACTCATGTGCCCCAGTGGTTGTACTTCGGTAGGAACACAATATGGCCGGAAATATCGCGGGAGAAAATGAAAAAGTATTTTTGGAAACATCGAATTACGAAAAATGGAAATGTGAATTAAAATGATGATACCTACCCAAGAGTTGTCATGGTGACAATTGTGTACCAGAAACTGGCAGGGATGCTGCTGAAATTCTTGTTTTTGTCCTTTTCCACATAGTAAATAACAGTTGCAAATATAATGATAGCCATTGATAACGAAAACAACAGAAATCCAAGCTCTGAGACGCAACTTTTTAGAGTATACCCAAGAATGCGTAGCCCTTTTGAGTGCCTGCTGAACTTGAAGACACGGAACACGCGGAAAACTCGCAGAGTAACGAATGCTCCGCTTATCGTCGTCTTGGGTACGAACAACCCGACGTAAAATGGCAATATTGCTACCACGTCGATGATACTCAAAACGCCGCGTACAAAGCGACAACGGTTCGGTGCCGCGTAAAGTCTTGCTGTGTATTCTACCGTAAAGACAATTACGCACACGGATTCTATCCCGAGGAAAACATCTTTGAACGCCTCACCGCATGTCCGACCGCCCTTGCATTTTATTGTTTCAATTACCGTGCTCGTCACGCTTACAGCTATGAAAAACCCAGTTATGTAGTAAAATAGGGATGCAATTAGTGCACTGTCTGGGTGTTCAAACCACATGAACAGCTTCTCTCTATTGCTCATTTTCGATACATCTACCTCAACTTCTTCTTCCAAAAGAGCTTGCTCTGCCTCATCAATTCTCGTTAAACATTCTTTTTTCTTGTCCGAAAATTCATCCTTACAACATTCGTAAACCGTTTCTTCTTTAATGCCGAAAAACGACAACTCATCGTCAAAGGACGATGCACATTCGCCTCTCGGATAGTGCAACTTGCCGCTGCGATAGTAGTTTAGAATGTAACGAAACAGCTCGGGATCCCTATCGAAAAAGAACTCTCTTGTCTCTTGATCGAAAAAATAGTTTTTTTCATCGCTTCCGAGTAACGTCGAAGGGTAACGATCAAGTGTCGATCGCCATGTTTCGAATTTTCGCCCAGAGATATTAAAGATGATTTTTTCAGGGTCTTCTTCCTCTTTCTTCTCGTCAAGTCCATTGACCATTGTTAGCCAGCCCGAGGCTGATTGGTTTGCGCATGAAAACCATGGGTCGAGTTCCGTGGTCATTTGAAAGGGCATAGAGAACTTCTATTTGTCAACCGCGTTTCTATCCATAGGGATACAGGATATTGCTCTCAGTGCTTTGGAAACTTGATTCTCATCTTGACGTAAGGACCTATTGTATATTAACAATTATAAGGAGTGAAAGACCAAAATCAGTGAAAAACCTTCTTTTTTGTCACAAAACAACAAAAGTCAATGTCATTTATGTTGATGACTTGATCATATGCCTGAATTCTATTTATCAAATTAACCCGCTTGGACGCAGATGCTTTGCTTGAACAGGCTTCACGTGAGCAGCATTTACAGTTCTATTGTGAAGTCTTGGTGATCCTGCAAGAAAGATATTGAATTTCGGTATGAGAATCAGGGAAACTTTCAGTGTTCAGCTACTTCCATATAAAATACGTTACCTATTTTAATCTAAAAAGTACGAATTGGTTTTAGGTATCAACTTTTAGGTATGCTAATTAAATTATACTGACGGAAAATAATTCTATCATCAAGAGTACAAGATAAAGAACATTCTAACTGCCACTTTCAAATTTGGTATCTTAATGGCTCATTTTCTGTTTGTTGTTTCCAACTTTCACTTTTTTTCTCCTAAGTATAAGCATTCACAGGCTCAAATTTTCAGTTTATCAGGACATTTTAATTAAAACATGTTTAATGGGTTGACCGTATTCCAATAGCTTTTTAAAATTGTTGCTATTGTTCTGTAAAAAGAACTTGTAGACTGATGGGTTTAAGGGCAAAAACAGGATGGGCGTCTTTCCTTCAGTAAAGTTTTAAGTTTTCTTCCAGCTAAACCTTCTTAAGGTTAAGATTCCATTTGTTATGTATCGTGTACTGCTTCAAGGATATTCTTTTACAAAAATGCAAAACTGACGTAATCTAAAATCTTGGTATCGTGTTTTAGCTCTAGATTTGCAATTTAAGGCCAGTTTTATCGATCTACCATCAAACTTTACACATCACTTGCCCTTGACCGCATGTAAATTAAACACCTCTTACAGAATAGTTGCTATTTTACTTAAAAAGTTTTCTTATCTGATAACGCAAATGTTTGCCCTCCCTCATGGATAATGTTCAGAAGATTCAATTGTAAAGCGTTTGCCACAATGTCAAGTTGTAAAATTGTTTATGAAATATCGATCAAGATTATGTGAAGCTTCCTTCATCACAGGAGGGAGAACAGGTGACTGGAAGTTCATTATCGGAAGCCAAGTAACAACGGGCTTTCTTTTTCAATAAGGCGTGACGTAACGGTCCATTACAATTTGCCCATTACAATCCCGAGAAAGCTTTTAGTTTACATTTAGAAGCTTGCAGATGTTTGGTGACTTAATTAGACTCGTTCAGAAGAAAAATGATGATTGTTATGGTATCCTTGCAAACATGTGACTTCTGTGAAGGAGCTTCATTGAGCCTCTATTTCGTGGGACCTTTTATGCTACAACAAGCGGAATCAACCTTCAGCATTAATTACTGTTTAACATTCTAAAACAGCTTTAAGACAAGGACATATACAGAATATTGGAAAGGAAAGATAATAGCAACAGTTCTTTTTCCTTGATTTCATAAGAACGCGTGCCTGCTTTCAAAAAGATAGGAAATTGAGACACGCAAAAACTGCCTGCTTGCAAAAAGGGGGGTGTCTCGCATTCGAAAAAAAATTTTGCGAATTTTTTTGTCTGCACTACTTTGCACATTCAGAATTTCTAATCCTTTGATAATCTGCAAAGGAAAACAGGATTACAGTTGGCAGCTCTTACAAGATTATTGTTGGTAGCTCGTTGCTGTTTCCTCTGATGAAACCTAGGCGTACTATGACTAAGCCTCTTAAACGCCCAACCTCGATCAACGGTTATTCGTGTTATAGTTTCAGCGACATAGGCAAATCCCCAATTTAATCTGCACCATTTTTAAACTGAAATGATTGAAAATGACGTGAATTTCGCTGTGTGGAAGTTGAGCAGGCAATCTTGAGGTCGAATGAAATGGTTATTTCAATACAATTTCTGACAACCCGAGAAGCAAATCACTCTTATTGCGAATATCGACCAGTATGCATTAAACATGAGAGCGGTACAGTTCCGTACATACAAATTAGGCCATGTTTTGTTCACGTAATGCGCATAAATTTAGACTTAGATTTCGAATTCGCCTGTGGTCACCTATAGTCGTACGTTTAATTGAAACATGCTTAAAAACACGTATGACCTAGCTGTCTACTAAGAGTATCATGAAAATGTGAGTAGACATTTATGAACAGTTTTCAGTTAAGGTTGTTACTTAAAAAGGGGTCAAAAGAAATACTTTTCTTGCGCTTTTTATTTGTCCTTTAAAATCAATTTGTCCTTGCGCATTTAAAATCCTTTTCTTTTCTCTCTACTTCGCCTCTGCAGCCCTGTGGCATGCAGGGTCTTAAGTTAAAACAGAAGATGTAGTTTTTCCTACGTAATCACCCTGGAGTGTGGCGCCTCTCTTGTATGGTCCTTTAATGGCGGAACACTGATGTTTAATGAACACTGATGACTAACTATGCAACTTAGCTACCAGAGTTCACTTTATGCTAAAAATATAGGATTTGGAATACTCGGCTGCTTGACATTGGACAAGAGTATTATATGGATTCTTACGATGTCCAGTTATCCATCTAATGGGTCATCCTGTGTTCAAGATTGTAACATATTCAACTATACGCATTTTAAATCTGCCTCTCGTAATATCTACTGCTCATTAAAGCGAATCTGTAGGCGTTCGTATTGAGATTATCTGTGTTCAGGTCAATTTATCACCTCCCGCGGATAGTTTATCGTTTCGATTAAATGTCTTATTTTCATGGCCTGAGAAAACTCCAAGATGTAATGCTCACATTGGGTGCCAAACCAGTGCAACAAAAGAAGAAAGTTATCTCCCTTAGTTTGGATTTTCCTAGGAGTATTTCTCACTTGAAGGCTTTGCTTGCAACTATGAAAAATAAACTGGCATTATCTGTATTATTGAAGTCTTGTTTCGTGTTTTTCATTTGCCAAAGCGACTGTTCATGAAAGGCAGAGATTTGCAAAAGTCAAGAGGTTTATTGGAAAAGGGGCATTGAATTCAACAACATTAAAGATAACAGCGCAATCACAAGCAGATTAGAGACTCTGTAGCCAATCCTAAACGTTTTCAACGAGCAATTCATGTTTTATCCGTTTATTCTCTCATCTGACTTCCTCTTTGGAATCCAATCCTGGAGTAATGATTTTAAGCAGTGTTTTTCAACGTTTGGTGATCCACAGAACAGTCCGTTCATTGAAAAAATCACGAAACATACCATCAACATAAATGTCATAAAATGAAACTCTGTGGAATATATTCACAATGTAAAGTCATCCTCATTGAATTGTCTTGAATAAGAATCAAATAAACACAAAGAAAAGGTACTTTATGATAAAATAGAACAATTTTATTTACTCTGTGTGAAACCGTATTGGCCTGTTTTGATGAACACAAAGTTACTTTCCTGGCTGGAATTGAAGGAAGACGCGATTTCTTTCAATTTTAGACCAATTAGATAAAGTTGGAGAATTTTCTATGTAACACCAGGCAATATCTCATGACACGGTAGTATGCTGTAGCACAGTGGTTGAAAAACATTGGTTAATGGCAGCCTTTCTTCTCAGTGATTGGCTCGTATGGACAAAGAGGCTTGAAACATCAAGGAAACAGTCTGCTCTGTTGTTGATAAATGGTTCTACCACTTTGAAAACAGGGCAACAAGGGGTCTAACGTAGTGACAGCCTCGATGTAAGATACAATCTCTTTTCTTGGGCGCCTCACTTACATCGTTAGTTTTAAACAGAGAACGTTTAAGCTTTGGCAACATTACGGGGATTTTCATTGTCAAAAACCACTGACTCGTCAAAATATAGTCGTTTAAAATATTACACAAAGTGTTATTTTGACGATGTTATTGATATATTTAAAGAAAGGTAGTGCTCTTTCCGGCTAGGCATTCGTGTAAACAGGCAAGGCATAAACCATTTCATTGGCAAAGCAATGGAATTACTTTTGATCCGGTCCGATCATGTTTCCACGCAAAAACTAATTCGGTTAAATCCATTTGCCTAGATTGAAATCATTACATAAATACAGCTGCTTCCCCTTAAAGAAGACTGCCAAATCTTTTTTTGCTACTGAGAAGATCACAAAGCTAGCGACATGCTAACTGCATCATATCATAAGATGTTTGAAGTTGCAGATAAGATACTGAAATACCTTTACACACATGTCCTATGAACTTAATGCCACGAGTGCATAGAATGTTATGGACTATCTTCTAAGGCAGTATCAGTTTCTTGTGTTCGTTATAGGATGTAGACGACATCGACAAACATGGTTAATCAACGTTAATCCAACCAAAGAAACAGGTACTACACCACGAGGCTTAAAAATAAGGGAATTCTTATTGTAATGCTAAGCCTGGATCGGAGGCTGTTGTCAGGCTGCATCGATGATAATTAAATCAAAGATTCCGTCGAAATTCTCAGCTAACTATACGTTTGCGTTTTAGTAAATCTAATCCCAGCAAATTTTCAACATGTGGGCATTGTTATTCAAGAAAAACAGTATCTGTAGTTGAAGGTATTCTAAATTTACCAACAGGATGTCAAGAGAACACTGGATTTACCATTGCGCTCTACGCAGGAATCGACAATTATTGTTGAACTCATAAACAAGTGCGATTCAAGCAATGTAATTAAATTGTAGCCTATATAAGAGAGCTTTGAATGAGTTTTAGGGGTATCTCACCACACTTAGAGTGCTTGCCAACAAATATGACTTTCTTAGACCATCATTCAATCTCCATCATTCAAAATTGAACCATCAAAGAGCTACGCCTTCAATGCAAACACAAACAAGTGTGTTTTCTTTTAAACAGAACCAGCTGTTTCTCTTTTAAACCACTTGTTTCTCTTTTGAAGAACCACCTAGTGTTTCCTATTTAAAGCATCATCAAATGTTTCCCCTTTCAAACACTGTCATATGTTTCTCTTTTAACTATTCCAAGTTGTTTCTTTATACAAGCACCAACAAGTGTTTCTCTGCTGAACCAGTCTCAAGTGTTCCTCCTTTGAAGCATCATCAAATGTTTTGCATTTGAACCACTCTAAAGTGTTTCTCTATTCAAGCACAATCAACTGTTTCTATTTTGAACCACTCTCATATGCTTCACCTTTCAAGCACCATCAAATGTTTCGCTTTTGAACTACCCTAAAGTATTTCTCGTTTAAAGCGCAATCAAATGTTTCTCTTCTTATGTCAAATGTTTTCTTTTGAATCACCATCGAGTGCTTCTTCTTTTAAGCATCACGAAGTGTTCAACTTTTGAGTCACCCTTAAGTGTGTTTTTTGCAACACCATTAAATGTTTCTTTGACACACATTTTCATTATGTGTTTCTTCTTCAAGGTACCATAAACCCTTTACATTTTATTTAAATTGGCAATTGTTTTGACTGATAATTGATAATTGACAATTTATCAGTCAATTATGTGTAATGAAATGTTTTACTTTAATGAAAAGATTTAAGCACTTTTTCAAAAAAGCATAATCTATCCTTTCTTTTCAATGTGATTGAAAGAAACAACTCGTTTTGTTATAATTTCCTTTGGAGTTTTAACAAAAAAAGAAACTTAATGACTCTTGTTTACAGCTGTAATGAATATGACAACTGTTTATCTGTTTTTATCAAAAAATCACATTTCAATAACGAGCTGTTTACGTGTCGTCTTTGAAAAAACAGTAATATATATTGAAATTCTTGAAGGCTCCTTGCTGAGAAAAACAAGGATTTTAAAGAAAGGCTGTCTATTGGAGTAATGATGTATCATTTATTTTATTTGCCTGTTGCATTATTGATGGAAATACTGTCAATAAACTTTCTAAGGATGCGTCCATGAGAAAATCCCATTCAATAGAATCTTTGGGATATCGACTTGTTTACTTCTTTTAATGCAAAACCGTTGCTAGATATGTAGGATATATGCGTTTGACGGTAATTGTTCAATGCATAAGTTGATATAAAAGCCCGGGCAATTGGCTTGCTTTCTCAATTTCTGTGGCGTTCCAATATTGGTGCCGGATGCGAACATGACTCTTCATTGTGACATCCTGTTGACAACATTCAATTCCAAAGTCATACCATTTTTTCATCTGTTATGAGTTATTTTTTGCGTTTTACCCGTCGTAAATGTTAGCTTTTTTCTACTTATCTTACGTGACAATCAGTTGGTGCTCGAATCTTGCCGAAATATGCAGCTGCAAAATATTGTTGTATCAGAGGAGTTTTACTGATTGCTTGCCTTTACCACTATTCTCTAAATGTTCGTTTTCTTTGATAGCTGAAGGACTACACGAAGATTAGGTCGATGCACAAAGAGCTAAAATCAGGGGTTTAAAGCTTTATTAAAAGGTTTTTTTAGAATTTTCATAAAAAATTGGTACTGAGAAGATGAAGTTGTAATGAAATGTGATTCACAATGATGTTAGAAACACGCTGACGAGAAGACATCTACTGAGAAAGTTCTTTTACGTGTTTTTGTGAAGAGGACTGCACCCCAGAAATCAGTTTTATGAGGAAAAGAAGCCTAGCTAAGATAAATCTAGACGATGGCGATAAAAATAGCCTCTGGAAACACCCCCGTCTTGAATGGCATTGCAATTTGTCGTAATGAATGGCCATCTATCGCATAAACAGATTTGACTTGAAAAAGTGGATTACGCAGACGGGACTCCTGCCATTGCAATATTTTTTATCTTGGTCACGGAATTGCAGCTAAGAGGAATGGCAATAAACTTTGAAAATACACAAGCTTGTTACTAACTTTCGTTTATAACAGTTTGAGCGAATGCATTATGCTCACCGTTTGCTCAAGCCTACCCTACTAAGTGGCGTATTGTAACGACAATTTGCACAAATCAATACGCTATTTGCTGCAGTCAGATTACACGTTTGTATAAAAATGTGATCAATGTATCCAGGGTTGAAATCACTTGACTGGCTTGCCTTGGCCAATCAGATTCCTATATTTTTCATCCAACATACGATACTCTGATAAAGATTTGTTAGCCAAATGTTCCTGCCTTAGGCCGAAATAGCCGGAATATTTCGTCTAAGATGATATTGGGCTTTCACAAAGGACAAATATTTCATTAGTATAAAAAATATTTTGAATCAACGTTTTATTTCGAAATAAGCGATTTTGGACAAAAGCGATTCGACACGAGTGATTTTCGACATAATCTATTTTCGACAAAAGCTTCTTTCGTGATGACCAGTTTTTCGACATAAAGGTTTTCGATATGAAGTCCACCTGTTACGAACTCTGTATGGACCAAAAAAGTTCGTAATAGCGAGAGTTCATTATATACGGTGCAGTTAAAAGGCCAGCCTTTTAGCTTGTTTTGTAATAAGCGGAGTTCGTAAAATGCAAAGCTCGTAAAGGCGGGATTCGTAATGTTGGGATTCCACTGTCCTTGCCATATAGACCCTCTTTTGATCATAAGAAATTTCCATATCCGAAGGCCAATTGGTGATTTGTGAAAATTAAAATGAAATTGTAATTATAAACAAAGTAAACGCAAATCTTTTTCAGCAGTTGGATTTTGAAGATGTATTAAGTTTGTAATATTAGAATTGTCGGTTTACTTTCCTAACTGTGAAAAAAAGTTATTTGTTGTGTTTACAAAGAGAATTCAGGTCATGCTGTTTGGCATTTGTATTTCTGTACTTCTGCATGAATGAAATTCAATCAATTCATTCTTTTGCGGTTAGTCTATCACCATGGCACCCAGAATGCATCATTATCTTTAAGTTACAATTAATTTGACATTATTCGTGTGTTTGTGGTAGCTAAAAGACACAATCCTTGCCAAAATTGTTGGAGCATCTACATAAAATCTTCACGATTTGCAACAAAAAATCTTTACGATTTGCAATATTTTCCCCTTCCCCATTATAATGTTGATTAATACCAATGTGGCATGGTTGTCAGTGGATATCTAACCAAAATTTGATATGTAAACACTTTTAATGAAGAAACATCATTGTAAGGGGTAGCAGCAGTGTTCATATCTTGGGAAGGTAATTAAATCCTTCAGTTGTCAACTTTTGAACGTGAATTTTGAGGTGTTCCAACTATTTTTGACAAGGATTGTAGCTTTCCAGCTATTGTACTTTCTGCTGGAACAAATAGCTCTTTGCCTGTCATATTTAGAAACAGTCTTCAGCCAGTTTCTATTGACAAATGTATAAGGGCGGTTGGAAATTCTTTCATAAAATCCCTGCACTCTTTTGCCAGCATATCACCAATTATTGATAGTATATCGCAATCTACAAAGGCTGCCCAGCACTCAACAATGTTAGAAAAATTCACGTACAACTATAGCATTAAAAGTCTGCTGTTGAAAATTTGACATGCATCTACCCTTGAACAAGTAAGAATTTTTCTTGTATGTCTGGGGATTCCCCTTTTCCCTCCCCCTAAGCCAGTGGCGTCATCAGCTCAAAAAAAAACTGGGGTGGACAAAAACAAATTTTATCGGCCACGCCTTTCAGACTTCGGACAGTTCTTTTTTGGTATTCTTTATCTATTTTGAAATTTTTGGACAAGCAACTTTCTCAAGCAGCATTTTCCGTAACGATGGTTTTTTGCCAGTGCGAAAATCGAAATCGATCTGATCAGCCCAGATCCACTCCAGTCCACCCTGTGGCGACGCCACTACCCTAAGCCTAGGGACCTGTTATTCCCTTAGACTCACCCCCCTGCTCTCCGACAGCATATTGATAACACTGATTCTATCTGCTGTGTTGTTGGTCCGCGTGAAAAATAAAATCGCTTTGCTTACATGCGTCGTAGTACGGTTCCTTTTTCCTACCTGTACAAATGTTTAAACTACATATTGGCATGATCAAATATTTAACAACTGCTGCTCAGCAAATATCTCGCACGATGTAATTAAACATTCGGTCAACATGTTTTCCGAGACCAACTATACTTACGTAAGACAGGCAAGTTACCAGCAAGACTGAAGCACAAATAACTAAAATAGCTTTTGCTTGGGAGCCAGGTCATACTGAGCTATGTCATTATGAACTATGGTCTACAATGCAATTGGTATAAAAACGTAAGTCGTTATATTGGCAGAAACAACGGATAACTCTGTTATTGAGGTGTCTCAGGGATTTAAAATGATTCATATATTTGAATGCATCTCCATGTCTGTCTTGAAACGAATCAGTCGTTGGCAATTACTGTATTTTTTAATGGAAAACAGAGCTCGTTTGCAGATGAACTTCTTTGAATCCCAAGTAAGAGCTGCTGGGATTACGAAGCGTTTACTTGGTATCGAAAAGCGATTTTAATATGTGGTTAGCGTCAGGTTCAATTCGAGCGAATACAGAATTAAAAACCTCAAGTTTCAGAAGCTCTGCAGATATTTCCTTGAGCTTTTTTAATAGAAAGATATTTATTTTTAGTTACTCCTAAGTTACCTGGATTATATCATATTTCCTTTTATAAGTTTGTCTCGACATTGAGATTCGTATTATAGACAGAGCGTTATCAAGCAAGCTGCTATGCATAATAGCACAAATGATTTACTACGTAAGCTGTAAGATTTTTTTGAAGTATCGTCAGAGAATTTATTGAAGCAGGATAGTGGACGAAAATTCAGCTTAGGTGTATTTACGAAATTCGCGCAGGATTGCTTCACATAAGTCGTTGACTTCTATTTGTTAAATAAGAGATAAAAAAGATAAGCTAACAGAAACTGAGAATGTTTCTTAGGAGTCAGAAGGTGTTTTTATTGCTGACAAATTTAAATATACGTGCTTATAGAATCATCAATGTATATCGCTACGGAGTCATCAATGTAGTTTTGACACAAGTTGGACCGCACTCTTAGTCTCACGATATACTGAGCGCGGTACACTGAGTGGCCGGAAAAGATAAAGTTTCGAAAATTCTTGAATATTGTCAATCGCTCTGCTCTCTTCTTTTGTTTTATCTGCAGCATGAATTAAAAGGGAAAATGTTCTAAGATAACTTTAATGTTTGTCTCTATAAGATATAAAGTATATGTTTTCAAATTATATCATAAAAGCTGGATTTATTCTTCAAATAGATTTTTGGCATTATCATCACTTCACTCAACTTAGCAAGACAGTTATTATTGACCATTTAAATACAATACAACCCCGATTGCGCTTTTTAACTTACTCGTACAGAAATTATAACTACGTTTAACATGTATGAAACTCTGAGATTTGGTCTTTATTGCTCAATAGCTGAGCATATTTATAAATAATGTTACTTACGAGCATTGCTTACTTGCTGCAAAATCGACGAACGTATGCAAGCAGTTCGTATCTTGCGTCTGACTGCAGGCCTTTTGAAAACCTGCCTGCTTTTCTGTGCATGTTGAAATCACTACCATCCTTCATTAGCGCCGCCTTTATTGATACACTTTTGTTTTATGAATTAATAATTTAAAAAGGTGCTCAATGGTCAACTGTCTAACTTATACGCTGCCTTGTTTGTTTCAAAGGATGCGATGTACCAAATAATTCTAAAACTTCTCTTAATTAAAAGATTTGATAAAAGCCGTTAAAGAAAACGACTCTCGACCGAGCTTTGTCGTTTGCAGCAGAGTTTAAAGTCTGAAGCAGATGTAGACCCCCTGACTTTTTTCAATCGCTAAGTAATTAGTCAAACATAGCGATAAAGCTTTAGGGGTGTGTAAGTTAATCTGATTTTTTTGTATGACTGTGTATTCTTGGCCAGTTCGAAAACAACAATTCTCTGCAGATGTCCAAGAAATTGCAAATCTTGCGAGGCTGGAAACTTCAGTAGGTAGTACATTTTAGATGTAGAAGATTTTTCAAAATAGCAAAGGAAATAATTGTATTCAAGATACGAGATACCTGTATTCAATCAAAATTATCGGCTAGCCTTTTCGCTATCAGACTATTATCACTGTTAGTAGATGAATATGCATTCGAAACTGCCAGTATTGTCAAAAGTGTTTTAATGTGACCAAAGTTCACTTATCTGCAAGAAATGTCAAACGAGCAAGTAAAAAATGTCAGCATCATTAGAAATGAAGAATCATTTTTTTAGTATTTGCGGCTAATTTAATGGAAAAATATAAAGACTGATCGTCAAGAGGAAACTTTTTTCGAGCTTTTTTCGAGCCTAGTACTAAGGTTTCTTAAATCTTTGGCCATCTTAGTACTAATTTCTTAAAAAAACAGCTTCTTATAATTGTTTCTCAAAAAACGTGTTTCTCAAAAAAGCAACTTAGAACCGCCCTGTTCTATACACCAAACGCTTTCACGGCTACACTTATTTTTTTGATAAGAAAAACTGAAGAAACTTCAGTACTCAAAGCAACGAAATTAAGAAGCTATTAAATCGTGATAAAACTGAGAACAACGAAATTATGTAAAATCTAAGAACATGATTGCCCTGTTCGTCTGGAATTTAAGACACAAGGGATAATTATATGCTTCCCACATCTAAATTCAGCATCGCAACGGACGCGAATCTCTTGCCGTTATTAAAAAGGTCACGAACAATTCATAACGCCGTTCATGACATGATAATTAAGAAACTCCTAAGAAACAATAAGTAATGAAATTTCCAGAACAACGAGCACTTTATGACAGACCGGTAAACAGTAATTTTGGCGACAGGCAGCGTTTTGCTGTCCTATCAACATATTTTCCCACCATCTTTTTATAATAAAACAAAAATATTTCAACAGATTTAATAATAATGAGAAATCTTTTCACAAATAATAATAATAATAATAGTTCATTTATTTACAATAGGCGTTCTTTACAGTAGTAGCTAAAAGAAACGCTACTTAATGCCTACTATTTATAGTAATAAAAATTATAATATTATACAGTGATATGAAAGCTATTCTAAGAAACAAATCAAAATAAATAGGATTTAATTAGCAAAATAGTTGAAAATAATCATGTTAGGTAATGCATGTGAAGAACCCGACCTGTGCTAGAAAGGTTCTACATAGCCTGCAGTTGCAATTATCCTTCCATTGTTTGATCTTTACTTTAAAGGTATTGAGAGTATTTAGGTTTTTCAAGTCTTCTGGTAGATTGTTGCAAAGCTTACATCCTAAATGAGACAAGCTTTCGATTCCATGACTGATGGTTCGAATTTTTGGGATTTTCATTAATTTACTGTTTCTAAGGTGGTAGTGGCTACTCCTTTGTATGAATATTCCATTCATAAAGCTTGGATTGAGTTTATGTACGATTTTGTAGATCTCAACCATTAGTAGTTGAAGGTTTCTTATGTCTATGGAGACACAGTTGTTTTCAATCAGGAGAGTATCAAATCTGATACCTTGTTTTTGCATGCGACACGCAGTGCCTTTTCATGTATATGGTTTATCTTATTATTTAGGCTTTTGTCACAGAACATCCATACAAATGGGCAATAGCTAAATTGGGATAGAAATAAAAGCCCTCATTGTTTGTTTGAGTTGTTCTGTGCTTAAGTAGCATGAAATGCGGGAAAGGGCGTTTAGTTTTTGACTAGCCTTTTTACAGTGTTTTTATGTGTGGCTTAAATGAGAGATTTTTGTATATAGTTACACCAAGTAGTTTTTCCTTGCTGCTTTCGTTGATTCCATCTGAGATTCAATAAGTCTTTCGTATACTTTTGAGACTGGTTCACAAAATAAGGAACGGTGTTGCTTTGTACAGAAAAAGTAATCAGACAGGATTTAGATTGTGAAACAAAGACATGTGAACTAACAGTTGATGATTCCCTTCCTCTGATTTCAAATTTGTCTCATGACTTTCCGTTTAGTTTGGTTGTTTTGACTTCTCATAGCAATACCACATAATCAATGGCAAGTTAACTTGTAAGGCTCTTTGGGGTTATTTTCGCAGTGGGGTGGTTGAAAGGGGGCGGGGGGATGGGAGAGACTTGGAGGATGGCTCACTCTTCTTTAACAAAGCAAACGATAGCACACGACTTGGATGATTCTGAAAAGTATACAGGCTTTGCTTGATTATTCTGAAAGGTTCAGAACACAATTGTTATACTCGCAGTCCTCCATTTAAAATATTGATTTCTTTTTGATGGCCTTAGACGGGATTATTGCTGATCTATTCAGCTCTAAATCCTACTTTAAGAGATTTTCCAACAAACGAATCGTTTTTTGCTCTCAGTTAACTGTATTTCTATTCATTGAAATACTCAAAATGCTTTATTGCACAACCACAACCTTCCCAGTTATGATGTTACATGTGATGACGTACTCTGGTACACAATGAGTCAATGCAAAATAGCTGTTGCAAATTAGCTTCAAACATCATAGAATCCACATCGAATAAGACCAACAATCTAGATATTGCTTTTTGAGTAAGCCAAAGATTTATCACCTGGCAGCGTTATTCATTTTAAGACGACTGGTGCCGCTGAAATGCAAATGCTTGTAACTTATGATGCTGTAATCGAATGTCTTAAGAACCATAAATGCATAAAACTAATGCAAACATTTGTGACACAAACCGAATCGAGTGTTTTACAGATTTGCAGACGATTTCAGTGTTCTGCTAGAAATCTGATGGAGACGGGCTAAAAAATTACAAAGTAAAAAAAAATTGCTTAATTTCACGAGGGAAAGGAAAAAACCGCCCTGTCCGCCTATTATTACCCCGCCCGCCCGCTTAATTTCCTGTTCGCCTCTGTACGTTTCCATACGCTCTTGTACGCTAATGCACGCTCTTGTACGCCCTGTGTAATTATTTTAGCACATTCAAATGCCCCTCTTGGTGAAAACTGGCTCTTTTTTAAACATTTAGCCAGTTTTGATTCACTATTTCTTTCTAGTCCGAGATATAATGTTCTTTCTAGTCCGAGGTGTGATGCTCAATTTGGGTATGTGGTACCTTCCTGTAAACGTGCTCGTGTATTTAATTTTAGCGTAGCAAACATTTTGATCTTTTAAACAGTCTATGGACCCACCAAACGTGATGTCATTGATTTGTTCACTGCAGTATTCACTACACGGCAAGACGGTTTTATACTTATATTAGATGTCATTAGTTGTGTAAGTATATCGACCATGTTCTAGCTTGATATAACAGTTTTAACCTGCAGCCCCTAGAGAACATTTTGAAATGCAAAATTGCAGGTTTGAAGCCATTTTTGGATGCTAGCCTTGCTCTATTTGTCAAGTCTTTATCCTGTTTATATAGAAAATTATAAAAAAGGGTAACCAGCCATTCACGTTTTTGCCATTTGTTCTTTACATTGACTGATATTCATGGCTTAGTGTTTGGCGTTTCCTCTAACTTGGCTCATGATAATACGTTCCGTCTCACTGTATGTTTCCAAGAAACATTCCAAATGAATAGCAGACTTACAATTTTGCTTTGATAATATGTTCCAATTCAGACAAGACTGTCTCATCTTTACTGATAAGCCGTGTAAATTTAATGTATTTTTTAAGTGGACAACAAAGACTGAAATCCGTCATGGCTTACCTGTCAACAGCTACCACTCGCGATGTGTCTCTTCCTCTCGAAGGCTGGCACTTTTCGCTTTGCCATCAGCTAAACCATTTTGGAGCACATAACTTGGAGGTATGAATCGTTGCAGCTTTTTGCAAGCTGTTCAAAGCTATTTCATTGCCCTCAGTTTCATCCAGACGCACGTTTTTTTCAAAAATATGTACTATATAGCAGAGATAAGATTTTTAATAACCCAGACCAACATTAAGTAAGGAGGTAGCCACAACAAGCCGTAGTTTCGCTCGAGCTCATTTGATAAAAAGACTATTGATTAACATACGCATTTTAACTTGCTTGACAAAATCAATGCATTATGCATATTGTCGCTTAATACACGTCAGCTGATCCCCTGTTAATGAGATCTTTGCTTTGAACGTCTCCGAAAAGCAAGAAATTCGCGCTCTTGTTGGCAGGATCATAGTTCCTAGATCGTCCAGAAATTAATCTCCATATAAATTCTCGAAATCTATTGATGAAATACCTCCCAAGTTTAGTAGGAATGAATTGAAAGTTTTCACAACCGCTGGTATGTGGTTTTATAAAGCAAAGGTGTTTTTTGGAAAACAGTTTAAGGCCAGTTACATTTAAGATTTTTTTAAAATAACACAAAGTTAACCGTATGTTGATGATAAAATTGCGTTTTCCCCGCGTTCCACACGAGGATTCGATCCTGTGTTCCACGCGTGCGTTCGATAGCTCGAGTACGGTTGCTGATTAATGGAGCCAAGATAAGGCTAACTGATAAATGGAATTAACATTAGCATGGTTTTTCTTTAGAGAAGAAGACAAATCATGTTGGGTTTATAATCATTGTTAACATTTGCAATAGTTAATGTTGAGTGTTATTCACCGAAAGTCAGCTGAGATGGCCAACAATTATCTTAATGCATTCATGATGATTGTTGATAAATTGATTTTAAATTGATTTATTACAAACTTCAGCATTTTTGAAGCTCGGTCAAAAATAGACGACAATGTTTTGGTTCAATTGTGTTGCCATCTTCCAAAGATAAATTCATCAAATTTATTCTTGTCATTGAACTCTGGAGTTTTGTCGGTGCCTTGAATTATGATTTTGGCGTCACTACTTCACAACGGCAGAAATTAGTTAACATGATCCTGAAGTAACAACCATTTAGGACTGAGTAAAATGAATTTATTTGAAAAGATTGAAAAAATATCTGAAAATTTGCTGATGAATTGCTAAAAGAATTGAAAATAAATAGAAATCGTTGGAGAAATTTTTCCCTATATATAGCAGCTTCTCGTAAGAAAAGGAAAATTTGTTTTCATAAAGAGCCCCTTTAGTTTTGCCCATGTTTAAATTGGCACAAAATTGTAAGTACGTTCATATTTTGTGAAATTCGAAATCCGACGAGAAAGTGATCCCTAAGCGTGGTTTTCGCACCACCCCTTGTATACATCTACATCTCGGCTGAAATCAACACCTAGGTGTGTTGTTTCAGGGGTTTTGCACTATACAATAAGAGTTTTTTACACGACATCAATATATCGCAATGCAATATCGTCAACCTAATCATCCACATATGGAAATGTTTTATTACGGCGTGGAATATTTCAAGCAGTTTTGCATATTGGATGCTATCAAGACCTACCTTTCCTAACCATCTACGACGAATTTATCACTGAACTTATACGAGACAAGCTTTGCGTCAAAGCTTTATTATATGTTTCGATTTTTATTATTTATAAATGTTACATTCAACTTTACAGCTGCAAGAAGTCGGGACAGCCCAACATCACAGAGGCTTTGCGGCAATATGTTCCGTCAGTTAATCGTTTGGAGTTAACAAAAAGCTCTGCGGCGCGTTTCTGATTGAAAAAACGTTGAGAATCATTCTTACGTTGCCAATTAGACACAAAACAGCTCAGGCCTGGAGACCTACTCAGGACTGTCCTACCAATTGGACGTGGTGTCTTTAAACCAAGGGCTGGAATTACACGGAATTAGAAACCTTCCATGCCATATCGAAACCGGCTGCAACGTTTCGGGCAAACTTACATACGCGTAGCTGTTCATACGGAGTTTTAGCTGAGACTGAAACAGGTCTTGTGTTGAGTGAGACCGGTTCAAATTTGGAACTTGATTGAACGCTGGTGCATGTCAGAGAGGAAAAGCACCAAAATAGAATGATAAAAAAATAATCTTTTATAGTTATTTGCCGGGGAAACAATATATGATTTTCAATAAATCTGTTTCGCATACTGCAATTGAGTCGCTGATTGGAACCGTTGCCAATGAGGAGGTGATTTGCACGCAGTTCCACTTGGGTGCTGCTTTGCGCAGTTCAACCCCAAATGTTTCAACTAAATTCGAAATCGGGTCGGCTATCAGGTCGTGTTCTGAGTGGCCTAAAATTTGCCTTATAATCGCTGCTTTAAAAGAAAGCTTAAAAGTTACTTGTCTTAATTCTTGTTCAAAATATCATCATAGAAAACAATTTACCTGCACCTTCGGCCATCCACAGAATTCAAGCCTTCTTTCTCATTTCTACCATCCATCAAACGTCAGTAAATTGCAATCTATTTTGTATTTAACAACCAGTACGGCAAAATTTTAGATCACCTGGTAACGAAAATAATTTTAAGGCAATGCCCCGGTCTTTTAAACAAAACGATGTTGAATGAAGGATAACTCTTGAATAAAAACCAATGTTTTCATGCTATTTCGTTGTTTCTAATTGAATTGAATTTTTATGAAAAATGCACGAGTATTTGAACACTGCTTTGAAACACTATGAACAACATTTGATATTCTTTTGTTTTCTTCAATTCTTGTGAATTTGAAAAACCTCTTTTCAAATTTAGAAACGTATGGTTTTATGCATCACTTTTGGCAGACTAGACACACAGGCAATCCAGCACAATATGTCTTTAAGTGCTTAAGTGTAATTAGGAAGTCGGTTCCAAATGGTTTCTTTCTGCGTTACCAGTAGACGTGTCTGCCATCTGAATTGAAGTTTAAGTAAGATGTTACAACATGTGTTGCAATATAAAGGCCTGAAGCTCGAGCGTTAAGGAAGATGAATCTGGATCTTCTCAAGCATTCAGAAATGAAAATGTTGCGATGGGAGATAAAAATGAGATCAAACACACAGTTGGTGGAGAATGCATTGTAGAAGTACTAAGAAAGGCTTAGAAATTTTGGGAGAGAGAAGTGTCTATGGAAAGAAAATGCAATAAGAAGGAATATTTCTTAGAACAGAATTTTCAAGAGAAAACACAATGCTAGTATTGAAGGATGTAGTCAACAGTTAAATAGGACAGAGTGGGTTGACAAATAGGACAGAGAAAGTAGATTGCAGGAAACAAGTGTTGGTTTGCTGGAAAAATAACTCTGGAATAAGAAAGCAACAGTGAAAAAAGAAGAAGGAGAACAAGAAGTTGAGGTAGAAGAATAAAAAGAAAAATGCAAATATTTACTTATAAGAAATGGCTTTGCAGGAATAGCAATAAGAGAAAGAAGAAGAAAGGAAAGAAAAAGGAGAAGAAGAAAACGGAGAAGAAGAAGAAGCAGAACAACAATGAAGAAATCCAACAGCAAAAAATTAGCAAAGGAAATAAAAGAAGAAAAGGAAAATAAGAACAAACAGAAGTTTATACGAGACGTCAACCTAAATATTGCCCTATTTATAACAATCCAAAAATTTGTAAAAACTTTTGGAAATAATTGGCGTTTCCCTTACTAAAAGCGGGGCTGTAAAGCATTTTCATGCAATGTAATATTGAAATGAGAACAGTACAATACCCTGTCGCCTTGACCTTCCGTTTACAAGGGACACTGGCGAATACGGTATGGAATGAAGACGCTGGGCAATACGGTAGTAATCGTGCGAAGCCCTTAAACTTGCTAGGCTGTTGATACGGCTAGTATTTGCTTTGTAATTCTAGCTATGTTGTAAGTTTAATATTCTCGAAGTCAAAGATTTATATCGAGTTTCAACCGGTTCGATTCAGTTCTTTTTTGTGATGTGTTACCAGGATGGTATCTAATGTGAGTCTTCATCTTTTTTAACCCATTTTTCAACAATTAATGCAATCAAGAATTGATTAGGATTTTTAGGGTTTTATCAACAGTGCTGACTGAAATCTTCTGTTCGATTTTCTTCCGACCATTATAGTATTGCCTCTTATTAGTGAATTGGATTGAATGATACATAGAATCGAGAATCTTGTGGTCTTTGACATGAGAATGTTGATACTCTAAGATTTAAGGTTAGTTATATGAAAATCAAGAAATTCAGTCAGACCGGTCTAGGAAATCAAAGATAAGTCCAGAATCCGGTTGCTATTGTCAACCTTTAGTACTTGATTACAATGTTGGAGACTGAATGCATTTTAACACATCAATGCTTCGATGCAATGCGCCATTGGAAGAGCTAAGAGTCAAGTGTGTTAGTTGATGTACCCGATGGTGGCAACTTATATCTTGATTTTCCTTAGACCTTGCGTTATGAATATTTGATGTTGGTAAATCCGTACCTTTCACGAAAACCACTCGTGGTTTTGCAAGTAAGTCTTCTCGTAAGTCTGTTTACAATATGCTGCTTAAGGCACCACTTCAAGCACGTTCTGTTGCTCTCAGGAAAAACCCTCTAGAACACCATGGTGAAAAAGACTTTACAGAATAAATCAACTGAATGAGCAACGAGTCAGTCAATCGCCAACTTATCGGCAAAAAGATCTCTTTTTGTAAAGCGTTTTAAGGACTTTTTACACAGCTATGCAGAGTGACACAGTTAAATCGTCTTGGACTCAAACTTGTCAATTGTACCTGCAGAGGCCATGCTTACGCGCACATGTTCAAATTGACGCTGTCTTCTAACACTTAAACAAAATACCTTTGCTTTCCTGGCTTTAATTTCCTGTATTTTCATTTTTCTGTTAAACAATTTAGGCTAGATATTATTTATAGGGTTTGTTTGAGTAATAAATGCAAACAAG